CCCAAGTAGGGAATTAACTAGCGATTGATTCATTAATCAATCGCCGGAGACAAGCCGCAATTTCTTGTATCACAGCTGGAGCGTAAACTGTATTACAAAATGCTTTATAGCTTGCTTATCCACAGCTGGAATGTATTCAATCAATGTATCTGGTTGGTTTTGTATAAACTTGCCATTGTAAACTTTTTTGCCCATCTGGGGCCATACGACTTGCTTACCATATATGTTGCTATTACGCCTATGTACTATGTTTATCCGTTGTATTGGCTGCTTGAGCCAACGACGATCAGCGCTCTTGTAAATAATTATAAAGGCGCACAATCACAACAATAATTGTTGTGATTCCGGGCTTCTCCTTCCTGGATTTTTATTTAGTACTGAAATAAAGTCATTTTATACACCTGAATTTCTATCGGCTTAAACGTGCGATAAGCTTGTGAATTCGTCAAGCAAGTCCTTGGGGTCATATCTCTTGATTTGGGTACTCCAGAAAGGGTCGTTATGAATATCAAATTTGTAAACATCAATTGGGTATGTGTTTTGCCTTTGAAAGATCTACCGCTGAAGCCAATTGCCAAATATGACCATGGAGCCCCGCTAATTGATTTTGGCAGTCCCCGCTTTGGTTTATGTTTGATTGCTGAAAAAAGCAGAGACAAAGCCTATATCAGTGATTTTAAACACGTAAATATAAAACCGATTAGGACGGACGATTACAACGGTTATGACTATGTCACCTCAGTTTATCTGGGCATGCGCTGCATAATCAAAGTGCCAGACAACTTGGCTTAAAAAACTTTGGCATATAGCTGTGTATTCATTTAATATTTACTTAAATATACGGTACCATTCCGTGTGTGACAAGAAAATCTGAAATAAAACAATGTTTTAAAGGCACACCGCAATGGTGATAGTAATAATGTTGTTAAAAGCACGTTTGGCGCAAACACACAAACTCTTTATTGCTTTAGGTTAAGACGGGCTGCCCGTCAAAACTCAATTCATTTGTACGCATTTTAAAAATTTTATTTGCGCAGAAAAATGTGCTAAACTAAAATAATTGCAATAAGCACATGCTATGCTGCAGCAGGAATAAAAATGTGTTTTGGCTACTTTTAACCATTAAAAATACAATGCAGAACAATATACATGTCTAAAATGCAGGCCACTGCTCAACCATGCAAGGAAATTGCAACCACATGAGCTTTTATTCTCACAGAACCATTTTTCACATTCAGCAGATTCATTGTTTGACTGCGGCTTTGGGTCTATTTGTAAAAGATGTCCTATTTGCATATTGCATCTGGAATAACATGTTCTTAAAAATATGCTGGACGTTGACGAGTGTATTGAATACTAGACTAATTTATATTCCGTAGAAACCTAGAAAAGAAAAGAATGCTCACAAAGAAATATTATTTTTCCCTTTTTATGACTACAAGTCTTAGTGCTCACAAAGAAAAGGGCAGCTGATGGGCATTGGGCTAAAAAGGAAATGTGTGCCCAACAGTACATGTGTTTTTGGATGCCAAATTCTCATTCTAGTGTAGTGATGCGTGTATACCAACAAAATAGAGAAAGCCCAACCACTGGTATGTGTCTTCTGCTTCTTATTCTCCCACCACATTTTTCACATTTATTTTATTTACTTACAGCTTGTTGAAACATCACCCATTAAAAAACTTCATATTATCATCTTTTCAAATTACCAACAAATGGCAGCTAATTTTATTGCGGCAAACGCTAGCGTCGCAATTGATATTGTTGTGTCAATGGCCTGCCTTATGGCAATGTTTAATGCCAAATCAACCAGGCGCAAAACATTGCCCACGCCTGCATTTTCACTGATTGCATTGGGCATTGCCAATGTGGCACTTGTTGTAATCCAGAGCGTGTCCATCAGCTCAGTTGTTTTTACTGCTTCTTTGTCTGCTGCAGTCTCGCTGACAGCATATTCGGCATTTTGCCACTATTTGGGCGCAGCCAGCGGCAGCAATGCACTTGCCTGCTTTCATGTGGCCAGAATTTACCGACTGGGCCAATCGCCGCTGATAATGACCCTGCCAGCAACCGCAGCCAGCGCAGCAATTCACCTTTGGCTCGCGTGGTATGCGTTGAATTCGCAGTTGAAAAGCAACATTTTGTTCCATCTCAAGGGCATTTGCGCTCTCGATGGGTTTGTTTTTGCCAGGCTCATGCGCAGTGGTGGCCTTTCTATTGAAGATTTGCGCAACCGCAAGTTTGAGAGCGAGTTTAGCGAGCACAGTAAAAGAGCAGTGTTTGACCCATTGCAAAGGCAATTCTTCTAAAATAAAATACATGCTAAATGATATATTTGACCAACTACAATTAGTTTGTTCTAAACACACCAATATCTTATTACTGTATTTTTTGTGCACATAGGTTCTTTGTCATCCGCGGCCTTATTGTAGCCGAATGGAAGGGTATTGTCGGTGTGCTTGTTGCCAAAACACTAGTTAAAATGGCTACTCACTTGCGCCGGCTCATGTTTGTTAGCATTATTGCAACTATCGGCAGTCCGGGTGCAATCGACTACCCGAGCTTGGCCATGCTTCTTGCTGTCTGGCAGTTGCTGTCGCTCACCACTCTTGCTGATAGATATATTATACATTTTCATGAGCTGATATCTGAAAAAATTCTTGCGCTTGTATATTTTAAGGCACAAGAGTTGTACATTACGGCATATTGCAAATTTTTTAGAGAGTATAAATTTTATAGCTCAGCTTATAAGATCTCAGCAACAACCAAGACCCTTATAGACACCTTCAGCTCGATGCTTGCTCAGCTTTTCAATGTTTGGATCATATCTCGACATATCGGCTGGTGTGCTGTCATTCCAGTTGCCATCACTCTTGGCCACCAGCTGATTGCCCATCTGGTATCTGCAAATATCGAACATCTGAAAAGGCTAAACCAAACGACCAGGATGCCCAGGTTTCAGGAAGACTATGACACCATATCTAGAAATATTCGCACAATCAAGCTCTATGCCTGGGAGAGGACATTCATGGGCGCTATGGCATGGTTGGATTTGCCAGAATACACACCGCCAATATTTTGGTATGTGCTGGAGTATATAATTAAAGTTCTTGGGTCCTCGGTTTCGCAGATTTCCGCTGCATCAACAATCATTATTTTCTTCAGCATGTCCAGTGATCCAATGTCATATGCCACTGTTGCACTGCTAGTGGACTCAATCGACTCGCTCATTCGATTTGCCAAAACAATTGGTACCACTGGACAGGCACTTATTGACATCAAGGAGGGTGTGGCTTTTATGCAGACACTTGTCGATGCTCAGCATACCAAAATTATTGCACATGTGTCAGAGACATCCAAGGATGGTGTTGCAGTAGAACTTGACAACTGTGCTTTCAGCTGGGGTAAGAGTAAGTTTGGATTGGATCCGATCACACTGTGCATCAAGGCTGGCGAGTTTGTAACGATAATCGGATGCATTGGCAGTGGCAAGTCGTCATTACTTTCAGGGCTGTGCGGCGAGATGCCTATCGTCAGTGGACATGGCCGCATGTGTGGAAATATTGGCTATGTCAGCCAGAAACCATACATTATGAACAACACCTTCCGCGAGAACGTGCTCATGGGTGCTGAGTATGACGAGAAATGGATGCATCAGGTGCTTGAAGCCTGTGCTCTGTCCGAGGATGTCAAGCAGTTTGCAGCTGGCGATCTGTCAGAGATTGGCCCTAATGGCATTAACCTGTCCGGCGGTCAAAAGGTCCGACTGGCACTAGCGAGGTAAATATTGGATATTCACAGCAAACATGTATCATACATCCAACATATGCAGGGTGTAGAATATGTATTTTGTTGCTAATTATTTTGCATAATTATTTTGTAGGGCGCTGTACCTAAAAGCGGACGTTTACATCTTTGACGACTTGCTTGCAGCTGTTGATGCACGAGTCGAGCGCCTCATTGTCGAGCGTGTTTTAGCATCTGGCGGCATCATTGGCAATAAAACGCGTATTCTAGTCACCCATGCTGATCATCTGGTGCCACTGAGCAGCAAGGTTGTCACGCTTGCTGAGGGGCATGCTGTGATTGTTGAGCAGCAGCCGGTTGGTTTTGTGTCTGCTGTCAACACAAATGAGCATATCTCTGATTCATCGACAGAAACTGCTTCAGCCAGCAATGCCGACACCAAATCTGGCAAGTTTACCATTCACCCCGAGCTGAAGGATCCACCGTTCAAGCTGTGGCAACTGTGGAGGTTTATCAAGCTCAGTGGGTATGGGACTGTTGCTATTGTGGCCTTGATCCAGCTTGCCAATGCCTATGTGATATACTACGTCGAAAGCCTGCGAATCAGCCTTATGGTCAACAGCAATCCTGACACAATGCGCCAGTCAATGAGCAGGTACTTAATTGTCAATGCATTGGTGGGAGTTGTTTGCATGCAGCTAAATTATTTTGAGGCGTGGATCAGGAAGGTTTTGTGGACCAAACGTGTTGCAGAGAAAATGCGTCGCCAGCTTATCAGCAGTATTCTCTCACTGCCACTCACACTTGCTGAGAGACTATCTTCCTCTGACCTGGTAAAAACGTTTATGGCTGATCGGGTTTATGTATCCAATAACCTTCCAAATACCCTGTGCAATACTGTTTTGTTTGAAAATTTCTTGGCAGTCTCAGCAATAATCCAGGCTACAAGATTTTCGCCAACAATTCTGCTGCTGTGCTTGCCACTGGCTGGCCTAACTGCACTGTCCAAAATATTATTCAGAGATATAGACAGGTTTCCGTGGATTCTAAACCAGTATATTGATAATAGTATCTTAAATCACTCAGAAGTGATATTTCAACACAAATTGTTACTTCGGATTCACAGATGTGCCGACGTATACCTGGACCAATCAAGAACTAGGGTTTCCTTTGAAATACATTTTGGCCACATTCGTCGTGTATTGGACAGTTCACGCAAGATGATGGCTACTGTTTGCGCTGAGGTCATCCGCAGCGGGATCTTGCTATTCAGTATCCATCGTCGTCTTTACACTAACACTCCTGTACTTCCAGGAGAGGTCGACACAATGGTTTTGCTGTCCTTAAACGTGTTTCATTGTGTGAATGCACTAAATCACATTTCTGGCAAGTTTGAGGACCAAATCCAGGCACTTTTGCGCTACTACATTTATACAGAACAGTTGGAGCACGAGGCACCACCAGTCATTGAGAATGCAAGGCCAGAACCCAGTTGGCCGCAGAATGGGGTAATTGAGTTCTGCAATTACAGCATGCGCTACCATCCAGAGTTGGATCTGGTTCTCAAAGGGCTTAGCTTTTCGGCACAAGGCGGCGAGAATATTGGCATTGTCGGCCGCACGGGTGCAGGCAAGAGCTCAATAACATATGCGCTGATGCGCTTGGTCGAGCCAGCCAACGGCCGGATCATCATCGACGGCATTGACATTTTGACCATTGGTCATCATGACCTGCGATCACGCATTGCCATTATTCCGCAGGACCCGGTGCTGTTCAAGGGTACCATTCGCGACAATCTTGATCCGGCCAACGAGTACACTGACGACGAAGTCTGGGCAGCTATTCATGCAGGTCAAATTAGCAACCTTCTCGATACCCCAACAGAGAAGTACGTCAAGCCTCTAGATAGCAAAAATTCTGACAAGGGGCTGTGGATCGAGGGTGTTGGGCTGAACAAATGGGTGAAATACAATGGTATCAATTTTAGTGTCGGCCAGAAACAGCTCATCAGTCTTTGTAGGGCACTTCTTTGGCGGCGCAAGATTGTCATTTTAGATGAGGCGACGGCCAACGTGGATTCCAAGACTGACCAGATCATGCAAGAAGTGATTCGCCGCGAGTTTAAGGAATGCACCGTGCTGACCATTGCGCACCGGCTGGGCACTGTGATGGAGAGCGACCGCATCCTGGTGATGGACCACGGCCAAATGGCAGAGTTTGACACGCCCGAGAAGCTGCTTGCTGACAAGAACAGCCACTTCTCGCAGTTGGTCGAGAGCATGAATTTCAGCCACAGCAATTGACATGGTTTTCAATGAATAAATAATTATATTGACATCAACAATTATTTTGCTCACATACTTTATTGTAATAAAACTTATTCGTACTAACTATATTTTTATTTAAAAAAAATACACTATAAGGGAGCTTAAAGAGCTCCGCTTATCTATTCGAAACTATCGACCGTGAAAATAGAAATCGCGATCGTAAACAATCACAATTTCAAACAATCGCAATAATTGATGTCACACGTTGTGTGCTGAGGTGCTCCTGGCATGAGGACGGGACACCCTCCGTTTTTAATATGCCTTTATTTACCCCTTTAACAGTGTTCCTTGCGAGTGGTCGGCTGATTACTATTGGTATCCTCTTTGGGCATGTTCACGACAGCATTGTACAATGAGCGCGTGTTTTAACTGGAGTATTCCTTTTGGTCGTTTAAGAAATAGCTCTTGTGGATTTTCTCCTATTAGCATCAAGCTGCAGCACCAGATAGTAGATAATAATAATGAACAGCTGTCTCCCATTTTCAATTTATTTTCTCACTCTCACTTTATTTATTTCTTACTAATTACAACATACCACTCTATTATATTATAGTTTTGCGCGCGCAATATTATTCTTACTATTATTCAAAATGTTTAACAGGAAACCGGCTACTATCGCCAGCACTAAAAAAGAGGAAAAGAAAAGGCAAGCCTCTCCAAAGAAGATTGCCGCCATGTCTGTAAATTTTCTTAATAAAGGATTCACGCTTCAGTTGGGCAATATTGAAGGCAAAGATTGCAATGAACTGGTAGCCTTTGCTAAAGGTTATTTAGCTAGATATTATAAGGACATATTGGAAATAAACGCCAGCAATAACCCCAATATAAAAAAAAGGATGAAACAGTTACTAGAACATTCCAAATACGAACCTACTATCAAGTTTGATAAGGTCAACCAAATTAAGCTCTGCGGATATTCCTTGATCAAGGGCCAATACATAGCTATCCTTACATATAGGGGAATGGGGGTAAATGAATTCGCTAGGCTTTACAAAAGCCAAGATTAATTATCGCAAATGCATTTGGTTTATATTTAAATACATTTATTTTTTAGGTAGCTGACATACTCAGCTTGTGATGTCTCCAATCCTAGTTTTGTTACCCTTGTTTTTTTACGAATAAACTATATCCGTATTTTCGCCATTTTCACTCAGTTGTCTTTTCTGCCTTTTAATTTATAATTGTATAAACAAAAATATATGAACATCAGCTGCCACCATTTTATAAAGAATAAACCTTTATTTTTGTACTCGAAAAAGGGAAGCAGGTTTGGCGACAGCGTCGCTTTTTTGTTTTCTTGGCTAGAGGTACCGCCATAATAAACGGTATGGTTGGTATTTTTATTCATGAAACGTATGGATGCTTTTTTCCAATAGAGCATTTTGTCAATTGTATTAAGCAGAGTGCTGTCGCGCAGCATTTTAATTGAGTTTTCAACAGCGTAAAAAAGGGTAAGGGAGATGCATACATGACACACATAATACATGCCTATCCCCTTTCTGCCACTCAAGCCGGAGTAGTCCTGATTTCAAGGTCGCGTTGATTGCCAAAGACGGATGCCAAAAAGAACAGTGTTTCAAAACCAGCAGCAGTAGCGGAAATAACGAGTAGTAAAAAGCAAAACCTCAAGATGCTAGCAAGATCAAGCAGCAATTGGTGCCGGCCATTATTACTTTTCTATTTTTACTTTGCTCGCGAGAATGACCAAGCTTGAGCTTTCGGCTATATTTAGGCAAAGTGCTCATTGCTTATTGCGTCCTGATATTGCGTTTGCGGTTTAGTTTTGTATGCCATCGTCTGTTTTCCATTTCAAAGCTGTACTTTTTTATCTGGGCGGAATCGTGTGCCGAATTATGTACTACGTGCTTATTTGGCACCGGTATTTGTGGTGTCATCTCGGACAATGGCAATGGCAATGGCCGCCACTCGGAATGAGAGCATTAGCCCAGCATTGCAAACAGGTACCGCCCGCATGCAGGCTATACCCGCCCGTGCATAAATGAAATTTGTGCACTGCGCACAGAAATCTTCAAAGAGGCCAGTGGACATGACAAATTTGAAATGAGTTGAGGTGAGGCGAGACGCACTGTTACTATACCCTGGTGGTCAGAGATTGGCTTGCCTCACCTTGCCTTGCTTAGCCTCGCATCTTCTTTTATTATTTTGGGCATGCATGGTGTCCAACGCTATCCGTGTTCGGAATGTGCAAGTGAGCAACTGGCATGCAGGACAAATAGCAGCAATAACCATTATCTCACAGCTGCGCTCGCATTGGGTTGGTCACTTAGTTGGCTGGATGGTTGTCGGGACAGAAAGCAGGGGAGCCGGCGCGATATGAGAGTGATGAGTTGGTTTGTGCGCGTGGCATCGCACACACGTATTGGATAAACAAGTACAGCTGGGGGCGGGAGCAACAGGGCGGGCAAAAAAACACAGGTTGCCAAAGCAAAGCAAAGCAAAGCAAAGCAAAGCAGCATTGCCCAGCCATGGATACGGGCCATAATGAAGAAGTTCAGAAGGAAGTTGATTAGCTCAGTAAAGTGAGCCAATCAGGAGCCGAAGGGGGTCTAGCTCAAATGGGAGAGCGCTCGCTTAGCATGCGAGAGGCACTGGGATCGATACCCAGGTCCTCCACACTTTTGCCGCTTCTTTTTCTTGTTGCGTGCTGTGGTGATGGTGGGCCTCATTGGGTGCTGTGAAATAATAACAAAAACACTAATCTTTTTCGAATGGCTCTTCTTTTTTTGCAGAGGCAAAAAAATAAGGAACGACCTGGTGGATCCAGATGCGGGCTGGCCATCGTTGCAATGCCTGCCACTGTGTTTTTCAAAGCTGTTTCTTGTCTATCCCACTCTTGTTTCTTTGTTGTTTTATTGCTTGGCACTTGCTGACCGACATTTTCTTTTTCTATTGTGGATATTGTATTTACAATAAACTGCATTTATTTTACTTGTGTATTGTCATTTTGGCGCTATTGTCTTTTCAACCTTTCATATTTGTGTGATGAATTGGCGCTGGTATAGGCTTCTTTATTCTCCCTCGTAAAATGTTTGACCTCAAGTTTCTGTCATAATTTGCAGAACAGCGGATAATGGATAATGGATAATGGATAGTGGATAATGGATAATGGATACTACCAGGGATTCAACCTGCCGCATCATCCCGTTCCCTTTAATTAAACCATTTTGTACTTGCCATTTTTGCTCTTTATTTGTTTGTGGCCATTGTTAGTTCCAAAGTGTTGGGGATAGTGAGTGAGAGGAAATAGACCCAATCTTTGAGCTATGCATTTTGTATTTGATAAACAAAGGACAGGAGATAGTGGGAAAATGTTGTTTTATTAACTCAAAAAGGAAATAATAAAAAACTTGGATCAGCGACGGTCGTTGTCGTTGTCGTTGTCAAGATTATACAGGGTTTGAAGAGTGCATACAGGTGGCAATGCTTTGGTCGTGATTGTGGTGGAGTCGGCAGACAATGGACCAGCCAAAGAGAAGAAAAGGGAAAAGAGCGAGAGCGAGAGCAAAAGACGCAGTAGAAAGGGGGGTATGAGTGAAGAAGGGTCAGAGCACAAAGAGCCTTCCAGAGTTGATCACGAAGAGACGGGAAACCAGCTCCAGCCGAATGAATGAAATAATAATAAAGGGGTTTTGGAGTATTTACAGTGTCAACAGAGACACAGACACAGGCACAGCCACACAGAGGCTGTGAGGGAAGGGCGAAGAAGAAAAAAGGACAGCCTGACGCCAATTACACCGCCAGCAAAAGGCAAGTCGTGTACTGCTCTCCCTTTGGCTCAATTCTCGCGGCCATCTCAGTTGTGCGCAGAAGACCCAACGCCCATCTTGATGGTCAGCCTGCGGAAATGCATCGAGCTCCTGCGCGTCATCTCCTTGATGTTCGCCAGCGACACGCGTCCGCTGGTGCTGGCACCTGAGCTCTTGCGCCGCATGTGCGTGCGCCGCCCGCCCGAGCTGCTTCCGCCATAGTCGTCCTCGTTGTCGGACCCAATATCCAACCACGATCCACCAAAGTTGTTGCGCGAAGTGTGGCGCATAATGCTGCAGGCGTCGGCCGGGCTGCCGTTAGCGTCTGTCGCGCTGTAGGTGCTGTGGGCGCTGTCGCTGCGCGCGCTGCGGGCACCGCCGCCGCTGAGGGGGTGGTAGTGGCTGTACAGGGAGGGCGCCGCCGGCGAGTGCATGGGCGGGTGGAAGCCGATGTGGTCGCTTGGCGAGGCAGACATGGTCGCATCGACCATGGGCGATGGCGGCATCTGCGGGAAGCCGCTAAGGGCTGTGCCGTGGGCCGTTGTGGTGGTGAGCGTCATGTGTGTGGGGCGACCGGTCATTGTCAGTTTGTTTTTGATGTCAGATAAAAGATGGGCGAATAATAATAGGGTTTGTGAGTGGTAGAAAATATACAAATAAATAAATAACTAAATAAATAAATATGGATGGGTGGGTGGGTGGTTGGTTGGGGGGTAGGGACAACGCCAGCGTATTTATATGTGCAAAAAGATCCTTGCCAAAGGCTCGGAAGAGAAAAAGAGTGTTGTGGGCAGTTTAGCCTGAGAGCTGTAGAAACAGGATCGGAACGGCGATTTATGAACTCGAGTGATTTAATGTGACGGCAAAAAGAAAAGAAACAGAATGCAGAGAACAAAAGCCGAGAAAAAGATGAAAAACAGCAGATCCACCCACCCCTTTTTATATAAACAGGATACGGAAAAGGAAGAGGGGAGGGTGAGAGGGCGCTTGGTGTTGTTCTCAGCAAGAAAGAGCAAAATAAAATAAGGCGCGTTCATACTCAACACCAGAAACCAGGCGGATTGGCCAATCGCAGGATGCTCCGATAGCCGATATCGAGTCAATCCGCGCATTTTTCCATTCCGATCGACATGCAGGCTAAAATAAGAGAGAGGACGCAGGAGAGGTGTCCGCTATTTTGATCACAAAAACACAAAAACACAAAAACAATAACAGGCGGCTTGGGCGAGAGCGCGAGAAATAAGCCGAAAACACAGGCTTTTTTTAGCACTCGACTCGGTGCTTGGTTGGTTGGTTGCCTTCAGCTGCTTTGACTGCTTGACTGTTTGGCTGTGAACTCCGATCGACCAGTCAAACGGGTGATTTTTTGCGCTTTGGCTTTATTTTGGTTGTTTTGGTTGTTTATGTTAGCTCGGTGCTCTCACTTTGCCGCACCTAATTTCGGGTTTGGTGCTTTGAGCGTCGGAATCACACTCGCTGGCTGTCGCTGGCTGTCGCTGGCTGTCGCTGCCTCCATCTTGGGTCAGCTGCATATGCGAGCCAATGGCCATATGGGTGCAAAAGGGGACACGCACACAATAGCAATTTAGCCATCTTTAGAAACTATGCACCCGGTGCAAAACAAAAAGCCAAAAGAGCAGACACATTTTCTGCTTCTGGCAGTCCTCGTGCTCTATTATTATTATTATTACTATTGTCTTCGTCGCAATGGAAAAGAGTTGACAAAAGACAAACAGACAGGCATATTGGGGCAATAGTGGGAAAAAGAGAGCAAAAAGAGAGTCATAATGACATTGTGTATTATTCTCACTCACCCTCTATTTTCCGAAAACAATGCGATTGTAGACACAAGTACTGCCCAATATATCCATTTCAGGACCAGTTCGCGAAACTGCGAAAAATAGAGACGTAAAAAGACAACAATAATATATTGTTTGATTCAGTTCAGTTCAATTCAATGTAACTACCAAAAAAGCATGTAAGCCTCCCTCTGCTTTTCCATTTGAATTTTCACTTTGCGTATTCCATGTATGTCTGGCAAGACAGCTCGCTTGTTCTAGCACTCCGTGCAAGGTGCAAAATGCGGGCTGTAGGAACCCAGATACGCCGTGGCTTTTTGTGCTTCTAGCTGCCGCGAAAGGCATATGTGTGCTTACGTCACTCGCTTTTATTTCCTTTTTACCAAGTCTTTTTCCTTCTTTCTTTCTTGTGCACAAAGGACAAGTGCGCTGTCGGATTCCAAGCACGTGTTTGGCGATCGGGCCGACCCGCCCTGGCCACAAATTGGTTCATCGGGGTGGATTTGCAGCCCGCAAAGAGTACGAAAAAGAGACGGAAGGCGGAGACGGAGAGGAGTCTTGGCAACTGCGTGATACTAAGCCCAATGGTAAAAAACGATGAGGAATTGCCGTTTTGGCTGGGCTTTGACAATGCATAAAGCATAATATTCTAAACAGGCCCATTTGTTGTCATTTATTGCCTTTAATTGCTTTCGGCTGTCTCTGTACCACCCAGGATAAATATCCAAGGGCCAATGAATGGCACTGTTCCTGTAAAATATTCAGCCTAAAAACCAAACGTTGTCCGCCATGGATAATATAGTGCGACGTGGCCAATAATACGGCTTGACTTGCTGGTTACACAACATGTATTTTAACCATCCGCTCATTTCATAGGTGCCTTGGTGTGGCGAAGCAACAAGCGTGAAACAATGTAAAAGAAGTGGCTCGTGAAAAAAGATTGGTTTTTGTCAAATGCCCAACCCACTAGGCGAACTTGAAACCAGCCAGGTAAAAAAAATTATTTAGTAAGAGTAAAGGCGGGAAGAATAGCAGTGTTGCTGGGCTCCTCGGACGGAGTCCCGAAATGGCCACCTTCAGCTCCAAGGTAAGCCGAACGGTTGCCATCAACGGCCTTCTCACACGCCTTTGCAGTACCCGTCAGATCCAGCTGATTGTAATCCGGGCTATACATGGTAGCGATCTCCTCCCAATCCGAAGCCGCCGGCCAGATGAATAGTAGCATTCCTGTCAGCCCTAAGGATGAGTGGCAAAGGGTGGTATTTGGATCCAGCATTTGGTTACAAATGATTTGGTGGCAGACATTTAAAAAACAATATTCGGTTATTTGTTGATTGTATTTGTGGCATGTGTGAGTTTCCTACATTTGTGGCATGTGCGAGTATCCTACATTTGTGGCACATTAGCGGCAATATCAACAGTATAATTGAGAGTAATGGCAACATCAGCAGCTGCTCATCCACTTTATGCCATTCATTCTGCACACCATTTATTTATATATTTTAGTGGCATACTTTGGATGGCATCCCATCTTCCAAACGCAAATTGTCAATTGCAGTCTCATACACTTTATTTGGTTGAATTGCACGTCCCACAGTTCTCTGTCTATATATATGTATATATAATTTTTTAAAGTTCAAGTTCATGAAAACAAAAACCACGAAAATGCTTGGTAAATTAGTTCCGATTAAAGGCGTGTTTGTATTTCGAAACAACAGCAGGTTTATTGTAAAACGTTAAGGAAAAGGTATAAAGTTTGCCAGTGGGCTTTTCTTCTGTTTAACATTTAACATTTAGCATTTAAAGTTGCTGTTTACGAAAGAATACACAGAGCCCAGTCAGCTGAAAAGACACGGGGTGCAAGCATTGGTCTGTTCTCGCTGTTTTTGTACAGTTGGCGACAACACCACGCTTTTTACTCGATCAAAACGCCAAATATCAGGCCCCAAAAAACATGTAAAAAAGAACGGGATATCAATCACATGATTTCGACTGTCCTGCTTCCCAATTGCGTGGAAAAGAAAAGAAAAAGGTTTGGCATTGGAAAAGGACAAGAAGCGCATTTATTTTCTACTCATCTTTTCTTCCGTTCACTCTTCGTTAATTCAACTTTTTTACTTTTCACTTTTTACTATTTATTGTACTTTATAATTATCTAAACTTTTCAAGAATGAGCAGCAATAGCAACGGCAACGGCAACGGCAACGGCAACGGCAACGGCAACGGCAACGGCAACGGCAACGACGTCTCAGACACCACAGCTTCCACAGACCTCAAGGACTTTAGTGAATTCGAAGCAGCCCCAGCCTCCCGACAGCTCGACCTCCCAGCCTACGAGGTTGGTGTCCCCGAGGCCATGAACAACTACAACTTGCCCTCCGACCCCGACCTCATTGCCTCCAAGCAGCAGCAGCTCTGGGACCAATTCCCGACGTTTGCGAATAAATCCGCAGATGATCTCGAAGACCTCCTGCGGTACGCGGATCTTTTCCAAGCGCACATTGACGGGTTAGAGCAGATCCAGCTGATGCGTACCTTGGAGTACGAGCTGCGCGAGGAGAACGAGCGACTGGCTAAGGTCAACTTGTCGTCGGAGGATGAGCTGAAGCGGATGCGGGAGGGCGTGGCGGAGCTGCAGATGTTTGCAAGCTCGTTGACTACAAGGCTGTATGAGTTGGTGCAGGAGCATTTGGATTTGCAGAAGCCATATTCGCCGGCGGTGTTGTTGGCCAGGGCGAAGAGGGAGGCGAGGGAGGCCGATGAGGAGGCGGAGAGGAGGGCCGACGAGTTTTTGGACAAGGGCGTGGACGAGATCGAAGACTTTGTCAGGGCGTACAAGGCGATGAGGGCCAGGTTCCATTCGCTCGACTCGAGGCATAAAATGGCTGATGCTGCGTACCGCAGTGGGGATCTTGCCGGCGTGCCAATGGCCGTTGATCGCTGAGAGAAAGAGACACACACACACAGAGAGAGAGAATGGGAGAGAACCATTTTGCAAGGCGTGCTTTTATAAACAATAAAGGTAAATTGATTTAAAAGTAAATCTAATGGACTAAACCCGGCTAGTTGCCCTCCTCAAGCACATGGTGCTGCTGGTACTCTGCGTCCAGCTTGACCAGCCACTCATACACAAACGCGCCCAGCGCAGCGCCAACCACGGGCCCAACCAGGGGCACCCAGAAATAAAGCGAACCCTCAGTAAACACGCCGAAACCATACGCCAGGGCGGCAAACACCCTGGGTCCAAAGTCTCTGGCCGGGTTAATCGATACAGCCAGCGGCGAGCTCAGCGCCAGTGACACGCCGGTGAGCGCCAAGCCAATAACCAACGGGGCAACAGGGCGTCCTGCGCTTCTGCCATCAGTGACGGCAAAAATAACCAGCACAAAGACAAATGACCCCAGTACCTCAGCAACCAAGCCCTCCCATGTACCATTGGATGTGATGAAAGCAGCAGTGGCCGGGTGTGTGCCAGTGGGATCAGTGAGCTCGAGCTGCGCCAATGCCTGAGCATAGTTCAGCCAGACGAGGAACGCCGCTGAGAATGCGCCGAGGGTCTGCGCGAGCAGGTATCCGGGCAGCTTAGCGGGTGAGAATCCGTTGAATAGCGCGCGGGCAATGGACACTGCTGGGTTGATGTGTCCGCCGCTGACGTGTGCTGAGGTCCAGATGCCCAACGTGACGGCGATGCCCCAGCCGATAGAGCTGTTGAGTGCTTCGGTGTGCTGTGTGGTCTTGCTCGTGAGGTTCTGCGCAGAAATTCCCAGGCCGACAAAGGTCAAAACAAGGGTGCCGATGAATTCGGCCCAGTAAGGCGCGGCAACGTTTCGAATGTTATTCATAATAAAATATATTATAGCGCTTTATTAAAACTTGATTGTTAGATTTGATTTGAGTATGTAAATGAGCGGAGTGGGTGTATTTATGAGAAAAATTGTTTAGGAAGAATATAAAAATACGAGTCGTGTGGAATCGCTCGGGAATGGGGGTTTAAAACGCTTTGCTTCTTTCCTTTTATACAATTGCCCTTGTTGCTCTCTTTCCACTTAACATTCTCTACATTCCCGCGCATTTTGGTGGTAATGCGAGAATGGGATTAGGTGAGCACAAGCGACAAAATGTTTCAAGTATAAAAAACAAGGAGACATCACAGCATTGCTCGTCCAATGTCCAATATTTGTCCAATGTTTGCATCGCATCGCACTCTACCCAGAAGATACATGTGGTGATATACAAAAAACATATACAATCAAAGCAAGACAAAATTTTTTGGTTTGCTCACGAGTAACATCCATTAGGATAAGGGTATGTGCACTCTCATTTGTTTTTAGCGGAAAACAATATATCAAATTGTATCACAACAAGTTATTACATGGGATAACGTGACGTTTTGTGGCTTTCTTTTTGTTTGTCTATTGGCAGCGGTACAATTTATTGCATTGTATTTAAGAAATATTGCAATTCATTTATTTTAAAAAATTTCCCACACTACTGGCATGTGCACTTTTATTTTGTCACAAATATTTCCGCTCATTCTGCTGCGTATTTTTTATTAACTGCTTTAGAAGGTATAAAATGTTTGTTCATATGACTATTGGCCACTCCAATACTTTTTTCCCACATATAAATCAGGTTTTTAACCTCATATTCACTTTCATATCAATTCACTTCCCAATCTTGCATATACATTTTTATTGATCAACATTTCAATAGATTACCACATATATATATATTTATTTTGCAGGATGCATATCTCCTTAACTTCCCTTGCCCTTGTCCTCGGCCTGGTTTCGGTCTCCGCGCTCACGACCAACATTAAAGTTGCTCGCGACGCCACGGTCTCCTACAACTCGATCAAGGCCAATGGGCAATTCGACTCGCTCACACGCAAGGGGCTGCTCCCAACGCTCGTAGCCTCAAATACGCGCACAGAGCCGCTCACCCACGACCGCATACTCCTGGGCTTTGACTTTCCCACCAGTATCAAGCTGACGCCCAATGTGAGGTGTAATCTGGTGATTCCCGCGCCACTGGAGGGCCCAGTTGTTAATTACAGCTTGACAGCATCGGCGGCGGAGAGCGGGTGGGAGGAGGAGACGGTTAATGGCGGAACGAGGATTGGCGAGGTGAGGGTGCTGAACAGTATGAAGGTGGTTGGGGACAAGACGGGTTCGCTTGGGGTTGTGGATATTACGCGCGCGTGCCAGGCGGCTGCGGCGACTAAGGGCCGCAGGTTCAGCGTTATCGTCGACTCGAACTCGCCGAGAGTCGTGTTTAACTCGAAGCAGTCTGGCCAGAGCAGCATCTTCAGTGTCGACATTATCCATTAGAACAATAAATTCATACCATTAAATTATTCGTACGAATTGGACTTGTGCTTGGGCACAAATGTAAAGTCGTCGGAGACGGGGCCGAGGATCATCTCTGATATCTTGATCCAATCGCGAGACTTTTCACTGCCCATCAGTGTTTCCAAATCATTGCGGCCAATAAAGGCCGGCGGTCTCTGATTCATCTTCTGTGGAAGAACCTCCAAGATGCCAGCCGGAATATACCTGTACAAGAACGACTGCCACTCGAGCAAGTATCTGCGCACATTATCTATTCCCTGCGTATCCGTGCCCCAGTGCTCCATCCCGAAGCGCGCAAACTCCCTTAGCATATCGAGGCGCTCCGTTGCCGAAATATCCCAAACACGGCGCTCCTCGATTTCCTTAAACACCCAGGGCTTAATCAGCGCGCCGCGGCCGATCATGACGCCGTCGCATTGTTTTTCGTCCTCCAAGTGCGCCCAGTAATCCTCCCACGAGAGCACGTCGCCGCCGCCAAACACTGGCATCTGCGCTGCCCGCTGCTTGCACTCACCGATATAGCCCCAGTCGGCGTGCTTAGTGTAGCGCTGCTGGCGCGAGCGCCCATGGATGGTGGTCAATGCGGCGCCCCAGCGCTCAAACTCCGGCACAAAGGTGTGTGCGGCAGGCGTGGTGGAGCTGATCCCAGTGCGCAGCTTAACGGTGATATCGCAGTCCACAACTGCACGCATCGTGCGCACGATGCGCTCGACCTTGGCCGACTGCGCCATCAGCGCGCTGCCGCCGCCGCTGTTGTACGCCATGTCGATGGGACAGCCCATGTTGAGGTCGATGAAGTCCACCAGGCACTCATTGCCGACTGCCTCGGCGGCGCGGCCCAGCTGGTCGGCGCGGTTGCCGGCGAGCTGGATGCCGAAGAGTGTCTCGCTCGGGTGCCGCTTCAGCAACGCCCACTCGGATTGCTGGCCCTGCAGAAGGTTGCCGGCCAGCGCCATTTCTGAACACGTGATGTCGACGCCAAACCCCTTGCAGATGCGTCGGAATGGCAGGTTTCCAACTGTCGTCAGCGGCGCAAGGTAGGTTTTGGCGCGGAAATCCACTCTGCCCGCGGTCTTCTGGCGCTTGGGCTCCTGGTCTGTTATGGGTGGTTCGCCGCTGCTGCTGGCCGCGTACGTGCGGTCAAAGGCGTCGGTGCGCGGAAAAGTAATCTGCTTCTTGCGCATTCTGATCTGGATCTCGCGGCCAAAGTCGTTGTGCGCATAGAGCTGCTGCTTGCCCTCGACCTGCATCTGCTTGTGCTCAGCGTTGGTGTGCGCGCCAGCGTAGCGGCACCGCAGCCCGTACTTGCATGCGCCGTAGGTGTCAAAGAGAACGCACTGTGTGCCTAGGTCAACAGGCTTTTCCGTGAGGTACTTGGTGATGTCGTGGCTGAACGTGCATTTGTCGCCGAACGGGCAGTCCTCGCCGAGCGAGAATTTAGCGCACAGCCGGTCGGAAGTAGACACCTGGTATGCTTTGTTTTTGTTTTGCGCGCGCCGGTTTGCGTTCTGCCCGCCGGTGGCCTTGGCCGGGGCGGCAGAGGGCTCTGTGCAAGGCTCGGTGCTGGGTGCGGCTGCGGCTGGAGTGACCTTGGCGAGAAACTCCTTTTTGATCGGCGCCTCGCCCGCCTTGACTGGCCGCTGCTCTGCCTCCTCTGTTTGTGTTTCTGTGCTTCCGGGCGCGGCTGTGTTGCAACCCGGTTCGGGGGTCGGAAATTCTGGTGTTGAATTCGAATCTATAGTGAGGACTGTCATTGTCGCCAAAAAAATAAATAGTAATAAAAATGCAGAGATCAAAAGAGAAATACGGGCGAATGACTGAACAAAATGGTTGAATCAATGATCAGGCAGGGAAAATTCAAAATAATCCACCAAATTAACACATCGTTAATTTAATCTCATTTCTGTATAGGGTGTCGCCATCACCATTTAAAATACAAATAGAGGTAAATTTATAAATATAAAATATTTGCCATTTGTTTATTGCGTTTAAAAGGGAAAATCGTTCAACTCACTTGGTGTAAATATTTAATGTTTAAAATACGGAGTAGTCGCCAGTTCTTGCTGGCCACAAATTATATTTTGTTCAGCTTTTATTTTGATGCACAGCACGTATGTCTTCCTCAATAAAAATTGCGCATACAGATTTGCGTTTTTTGGTATAGAACAAGTATATGCCCTCTTTCTTTCCCAAATTCTCCTTTCAACACGTAAACAGACATACATCAGCAACTACTAACCGACACTCTAGGTTTGCATACTCGGCGTCAGCCAAATCATTAAATTTACATACATAGTCAAACAAAGCGCTTTTCATCATGGTTATCTTTTACGTTCATTCCCCAAGGACAAGTGATATAAATAAGAAATTTGAAGTCAATGATAAGTCAATGAGATTATTAGACATACTAAAGAAAAAAGGATTTGAAGACAAAGCACGTTAGCATTACATCTTTTTACACGCAAAAAAACAAAGATGATCAAATAAGTAAAGAAAAATATAACACCGGTAAATACTTTAATATTAAGGAATTCAATGAACTGTATGGTATAACCATTTATAAAGTAGAAATATCCGACCATGATGCTTACATTCATCAAAACATGAAATACAAGCTTAGAGAATAAGTGAAACAAAGCGTAAACTACTTTTAATATGTGGGCTATATGTGATACAAGAGGTTGCGGCTTGTCTCCGGCAATTGATTAATGAATCAATCGCTAGTTAATTCTCTACTTGGATATGCGGGAATTCATACGCACGCATAAATGCCAATGAATATGAACAGTGGAGGCTGTTCATCCCTTAGCTTTCTTTTAGTTCATTTATTCAATATATATATATTTATAACACAACACTATAGATATTTTAATATTTTAATATTTTATTTTATGGCACCAATAAATTAAAAATTTGTATTCTTGACTTTTCTTGATCTTTGTTTTTTTGTGCTGCGCGCTTTTTCGATTTGTCGATCATCCACTGAAAAACAGTGCGGATTCCACCTCTCCCATGCATTTATTTCCCCCAATACTTTACTCCGTTATCGTTCGATTACACCAGTTTTCTAGCTTTTTTGGTTTATCAAGCAAAGCAAAGAAAAAATCGACACCCCAAAAACCCAATTTTTCATTATTTTTCAGCTTCATCTGCCCAACTCTGTCTCTCTCTAGATCTCCATATATTCCATAATTAATTATTTTCACCTTCATCACAACATTGATATCAGCAACGAAATGGCCGACACCAAGCTTTACATTTCGTACAACCAGATCCACCAGCTGATTGAAAATGCTGTGGATAACTTCCACATGGGCGAAGACTTTAGTCCGGATCTGATGATTGCCATTGGCGGCGGTGGCTTCATCCCAGCGCGCATCCTTCGGTCGTTCCTCAAGGCCAAGCGCGGCCACAACATCCCAATCCAAGCCATTGGCCTTTCGCTCTACGAGGAGCTCCCCAATGCCGGACAGGACGGTGTCCCGGAGGTCCCCGGCGTGCAGGTCACAAAAACGCAGTGGCTGAATTTTGGCGGCGCCGATTCTCTGGTTTCTCTGCTGGGCCGCAAGATACTGATTGTCGATGAGGTCGATGATAGCCGCAAGACACTGGTGTATGCGGTGGCAGAGCTGTTGAAGGATATTGAGGAGCAGGAGCGCAAGAAGGGGTTGCAGCCGGGTGAGTCGGGCACGGAGATTGGTATTTTCGTCGTTTATAATAAGGACAAGCCGAAGGCCGGCGATTTGCCTGAGAAGGTCATGGACAGGTACTATGCTGCGGCCACTACGCCTGACCGCTGGTTGTCATTCCCTTGGGACTGCACGACGGATATTGCCGAGCACACTGAGCTGGCTAAAAAGTCATTTTCAACTTCCATGTGACAAGTAAATAAAGGGAAAAAATTATGCATTATCAATCATTATTTTTGTGCTTTGATATTGATGGTAACACAAAATAGCTTCTAGACAATCGATTTTATATAGGTGTGTTGCCATCGAATAAACGCATTATTAGCACACATAAAATCGATTGTTTTTCTTTATCGACGTGTGCTTTACTCGCTTCATAATTTGAAACGAATTAGTTATTTACACTTTTAAAAATATGATGGAAATAGTAGACAGTCAGAGCGCACACGCGTCCAGCAATTGCACATCCGCCGAGCAGACTAACGCACTCAAGCAGATCAACGCGCTTCTCGAGATGCCGTCTATCTGCCTGTCGCGCATCCGCGAACCACTCGCTCTGGTCGGCGGCTACTGGAACATAGACGCCGACATTATTAACAAGGTGTCCACAGGAGCGCCGCACACCGCAGAAGAGGGGATCGCGGATATGTGCGCGGTTTTCAACAATATCCGTCATTCGCCATCGCTTGATGCGAAAATCAAACGCGATATCGCTATTTTCGTCGAGCGCGCTGGTGCTTGGGTCACGAACAACCGGATTTGAAGCTTACAAGGAAAAGGAAAGCGGGCAGGCAGTGTGTCCCAGATTTAATTCTGGAAACCTCGATCGGAAAAAAGATTAAGCGGGGCAAAATTACAACTAGGCTTTGACTACACAAAACCATGTTTTCTGTATGTGATCTTGATTAGGTGAAAAATTTTCATGAAATTGCAAACTGCAATTTTTTCTTCTGGCTGGCTGGCTGGCTGAATATTTTGGCTGGGGGGTGTGTGTGCGAAGTGAGGCAAAGCAAGGCGAGGGGTAGAGGAGGGGTGAGGGGACGCGCGTCGCCGCCACATGAAGAATTCTCCAAGAAATTTGTACGTGTTTGCGCGAACACAAACAGGTGATGGAGGCGACGGAAGGCTGTGGAAGGCGCATACAAACAAAAATACACCGTGGACGAGATTGTGTACTGGCAGAAAGAAAAAAACTGAAAAGAACAATAGCCGCGCGTTCATTGTTTTTTGTCGCCACTGCTATAAAACGCGCATATTCCAAGGCAGAACTTGTAAAGTATTGCTTTCTCCAAGCCCACTTTCATTTTCACCCACCCCTTTCTCCTTTGTAATATTTGTACTCTTTTTTGTTTCTTTTATTTGCACCTATCAACCCTTTATTATTTTTTAGTTTTTGCAATTTCAAGCCATCTCCCCTTCACCTCTTTTTTCTCTCATAATTTTCATTTTCTGTTTTGTCAACAAGGTACGAATTAATCATGATATAAGCACAAGTCGGGTTCTGGTGCTCGATTTCCCTGAGAGACCCCACCCTCAAGCCCCAAGTCTACACACAACACCGCGCTAGGACACACTCACTGACAGAGGTTGGTGGTGTTTTTCTTCCGGTCAAGCCCCCTCGTCCATCGAGCCAAGCGCGAGCAAAGGAAAGAGAAGAGTTTTAACAGGACCTTCTCACGACATTTTTTCCTTTGGCTTCAAGATGGACACTCAGTTGGGTTGCTGACGCGACGCGTCGTCTTTATCGCCGGAGCAGTTTGGCAGATCTGAATTCACAAGATCCTCAAAATTCAAAACTACTAATCGGATCTCCAAAAAACACTTTCGCCGTGGCCTCGTTCTTTACTCCCCCTCGTTAGAAAAGGTTTTATTTTCTCTTCTTTACTAGCAGCGACCACCTGATCCCAAAAAACCGCTACCTTTTTCAAACCAAGACCCCTTTTAACTATGGCTGACCACGCTGATGATCTTATCGATTACGAGGAGGAGGACGAGGAGACTCTCCAGCCGGCTGTTGCCGTTGCCGCCACCGCTGCTGATTCGTCAGCTGCCACCGGCGCAGCAGGTGAGTCCGGCGATGCCGCTGACGGTGACGCCAACACCGCAGATGCCAAGAACAACAAGGGCAGCTATGTTGGTGTGCACTCGACCAGTTTCCGCGACTTCCTGATGAAGCCCGAGCTCCTCCGTGCCATCGTTGACTGCGGTTTTGAGCACCCGTCCGAGGTGCAGCAGGAGACTATTCCGGCGGCGATTAACGGCAATGACGTTCTTTGTCAGGCCAAGTCTGGTTTGGGCAAGACCGCGGTGTTTGTCCTGGCCACGCTTAACAAGATTACGCCGGTGCCCGGCGCTGTGTCGGCGATTGTTCTGTGCCACACGCGTGAGCTTGCGTACCAGATCAAGAACGAGTACATGCGTTTCAGCAAGTACCTGCCTGAGATCAAGACTGAGGTGTTTTACGGTGGTGTGCCGATGAAGCACGACCAGGATATCCTTGGCGATAAGGATAAGTGCCCCAACATTATTGTTGGCACGCCTGGTCGCATTCTCGCCCTGCTGCGCGACCGCACTCTGCGTCTGTCCAGCGTCAGCAGCTTTGTTGTTGACGAGTGCGACAAGGTCCTCGACTCTATTGGTAAGTATTCTTGTTGAGTTTATTGCTTGTCTTGATTTGTGTTTATGTGGCTGGCTTTGTCTTTCTTTTTTACATGATGAAAACATTTTTTTCTAAACCTAGCTCGTTTAATGGCCACCAAAAACAACGCAAAAAACCGGTCATAATGAGATCAAAATTTTATCTGAACCCACCCACCCACCCGAAAAAAGAACATTCATTCTGCCAGTCCATTGCACAAGCTTGCTCATCAAAAAATTTATGTATTACCAAGATATTTTGTACTAAAACCGTCTTTTGTCTATTTTTATTTTTCATGTCTTATAGATATGCGCCGCGATGTGCAGGAGATTTTCAAGGCCACGCCGCATAACAAGCAGGTACTGATGTTCAGTGCCACTCTGAGCAAGGAGATCAAGCCGGTGTGCAAGAAGTTCATGCAGGATCCTCGCGAGATCTACGTTGACGACGAGGCCAAGCTGACTCTCCACGGTCTGCAACAGTACTACGTGACCTTGCCCGAGGCCGGCAAGAACCGCAAGCTGAGCGACATCCTTGATTCTCTCGAGTTCAACCAGGTTGTTATTTTCGTCAAGTCCCTGCAGCGCGCCAAGCTGCTCAACAAGCTGCTCAACAGCTGCAACTTCTCGTCTACCTGCATCCACTCGGGCATTCCCCAGCCGGAGCGCATTGAGATTTACAAGAAGTTCAAGGACTTTTCGTCGCGCATTATGGTTGCCACCGACATTATTGGCCGCGGTATTGATGTTGAGCGCGTCAATATTGTTATCAACTATGATATTTCGAGCGACGCTGACTCGTACCTTCATCGCGTTGGTCGTGCCGGTCGCTTTGGTACCAAGGGCCTGGCCATTACCTTTGTGTCGACCGACGAGGACAAGAAGATCCTTGAGTCCGTGCAGGAGCGCTTCGAGGTCAACATCAACGAGCTGCCCGCTGACATTGACCCCAAGACCTACATGACCTCGTAATTTTTGCACTTTTTTTCTATTTTTTTTCTAGCTTTTGGATTCGAATTTGATTCGGGGGGTGTCTCGAGATCCATTAATGGGTCTTCGGGCCCCTTTATTTTTCACTATCATTTTTTTTTGGGTGTGTATTGAATCTCATGCCATTTTTTCTTGCAGTTTATTTTGTAGTTCAGTTCAGACCGTTGAGCAAGCAATAAAAGCAGTAAATCTAAAAAAAGAAGAATGCTGGGCGATAAAAGAAACGTGCTAAGAAATAAATTGTGGCACGGGGGTCCCAATAACTTTTCTTTCTTATATTGTTGTTGCTGTTTATATCAGCTCTGCCAAAATGGAAAAGGGGGGAATAGGGACTACACAACATTACTGTACAATGGCTGACTGTGCTCATTAACAAAATGGCTTTTTTATAATTGTTTACGCCTTTTGTATATTATATTTGTTGGCGGTCTGCCCGAGTTGTGTCGATGGTCTTACTTTATCAGGGGAGGGCCACATGATACGTATATAAACCACCAACCAAAAGTAATAAATGTGTAACATATGAGACCGAGAAATGACCTGTTTCACTGTGTCAAAAGCTGTTGAAAACAAGGCTCAAGACAGGTCAAATGAGGATAAACAGGTTTAGATTATTGAGAGTATTTCTGTTTTTCCTTTACACGTTGAAGCTCACTTGTTTACTTGTGAGAACGCAGATGTTGTGACGTTATCAATATTGGAGTATGTATGTGTTGTTCTGCACATATAAGCACTACATGCTTTTTGTTTTGTTCGTACGTTTTCTCACTCACTCACTGCCTTTCATCCCTTGTCCCCCTTCACTTTTAATTTTATTTTTGTATTGACACTCAATACCCCTTTTTCGGATTACTCTCTTCTTTTTTGTCCATTGTCTCTATTTTTCATTCCTTCTGCATCCCAAGCAAAAAAATAGTCGCTTATGCTGCAAGCTGCCTTGTCTATTATCTTTATTTTGGATGGGAGAAGAAAGAAAACTGCAGCAGCAGGCCATAAAAAACCCCAGCAAAGAATCTTCTTCGCATTCTCAACAGTCTCTCACCCTCTGCCAGTCAGTCAGTCTGTCTGTGTCCTATGGTCTGTCTCTCTCATTTATTGTAGGAATTGACAAGAAAGAACAAGTTTATCGCTGATCAGTCACTTTTTTGAACTATATTTTTTTGTGGCAGGATTTTCACAATTCAAACCCACTTAAAAATGGTTTAAAGCGGGTTTATTCAGTGGATTCAAAGTTTCCTTCTTTTCTTTCGGCTGCCGATCAATAAACTGCTTTTTTTGTAATTCACACCCAACTCGGTCCATTATTTTCTCTTGTTTTTTTTGGGATGCGGACCGCGCGGCCCAAATAAACAATACAATCCGAAAAGTTATATTTATTTTCCACGCCATTTTTCCCTCTTTCTTTCTCTCACTAAGCGTTTCTGGAATTTTTATATTTTCATTTCTTTGTCAGTTTCTATGTAAAGAAGTACTTTTTCCTTTTTCTCTCTTACCTTTTTCTTTCTAGCTTATATTATATTATTTTTAAAATACCTACCAAGGGACATTAAACGTTTTTATTTTTTATTTCCCCTCTACTTTTTATTTCCTCCCCTTCTGTTTATTTTTGTTATTTAAGAAATGAGGGCTTTTACAACTATAGCAACTCTTGTATCAGCCATTTCCGTAGCTGTTGGAGCCGCCCCCATGGCTGAAGGAAGCCTGGTGGGCGACTTGGGTGAGCTGATAGCCGAACCACTAATGATTTACTTCCAAGCAGGGAGCGGACAGCTGGTGACAACAGTGCCTGGTGGTACCACTGAGGAGGATACAAAGCAGACCACCGCTAGCAGTAGCAGTAGCAGTGCCAGTGCCAGTACCTCGACCACGATTATCAGTGCGACCACTTCGAGCACGGTTATTAGCACAAGTGTTGCCGTTGAAACCTCTGTCTCCACTCACACCACCGAGGAGGTAGTGCAGACGAGCTCAAGTGCCGCAGAACCAGTTCACAAAGAGGAAAAAGAGGAGGTGCCAGTGTCTTCCAACGGCAGCATTCCTGATGGGCAGGGCAACGACTTTAACACACCACCGGGCGCTATCCGGTTCCCTTGGAATTACGGCAACAGCGACCACGTTGTTCCCTTGACACCCTCATCCAAGAACGGCGGCTGGGCGATGTCGCCAGACCAATTGTGCAAGTCCAACTCCTGGTGCCCCTATGCATGCAGCCCAGGGTACTACTCTGCACAGTGGGATACCACAGCCGTGCTGTACAATGGTGATCGGTCGATGAATGGTGGGTTATATGCGGATAGCAAGGGACAGCTGTCGAAGCCATTCCCGGAGCGTGCATTCTGTGAGCCTGGGATGATGAATGCTGGGATTAAGAATACTTTGGGTAAGTCGGTGTCTGCGTGCCAGACTGTGTACCCGGGAAATGAGGCGATGATTATTCCGTCGGTGGTTCAACCCGGTACCACGGAGCAGTTGAACGTGGTGCCGAACACGTATTGGTTAGGCACGTCATCGCAGTTCTACGTCAACCTCGCAGGATCCACAGCCGAGCAGTGTGTCTGGGGTAACAGTGATAAGCCTGTGGGCAACTGGGGACCGTATATTTTCGGTGGCGGACAGGGCAAGGACGGAAATACTTATATCAGCGTGCAGTTTAATCCGCTGTACCACTCGGCTGGGTTCGATATTTCGGCTGCGTATAACGTTAATATTGAGTGTGTCACGGGCAAGTGCAATTTCCCTGAGGGCGGACAGTGCAGGTGCGAGAAGGGTGTGTGCTCGGTCAGTAATGGATGCACAGTCACTTTGGGCCAGGGTGCCAGCGCTAACTTTGTCCTTTACTGAGCTTAATATTTATTAATAACAATGCCAATAACAATTTCTTTGGTTATTATTCCCGATGGACCTTGCTGACAGCTCACATAACGCAACCCTCCTCCCTACCCCAAATTGGACAAAAATAAAAATAAAAATAACATTTAATGTATTTTCTTTATTTAAAATATCAACAATAAAATCTCTCAATTCATGGCCGATCCCTTGGCTATATACTCAACAAAGCTTTCTCCCTCTTTGGGAAACGCCGACGCAATCGAATGATCAGCCATAAACCCAGGAAGCCATCCAGAAAAGTCTGAGTGATGGATACATGACCACTCAACAGAGCCATCCTCAAACTCCCTAACTTCCTCGTATGTCTCATAAAACGCGCGCACATACCCTTTCTGGGGCGTGCAGTTCTTGTGGTCCATCGGGATAGTGACAATTTGGAATCTTCGCCGCACAGGACGGTGTACAGCGTCAATATCGATGTCTGTGCTTTTGGTGGGGAACGGAGGCAGTGGCTGCGGCATCATCGCCAGTGGCATTGGCATTGGTGGCGCGGCATACTCGGAGGCCGCGTACTCCGAGGCGGCGTTTTCGAGGTCCATGAAGCTTCGGGCGGTCTTCATGCCCTTGTGGAAGGGATTCGGGCTGGAGGGCGTCAGTGGGCTGGAGGGCGTCAGCGGACTATCCGGCCGACTATAATGATGACCCCCCATGGTATGCACAGCAAGGTTAACAGTCGACTGCGAGCGCATGACCTGTGCCAAGTTGGTCATACTCGCCGAGGGCGTAAAAATCCTAGGCTTCACACGGGCAATATCCCCGGTGAACTCACGCTTAACGACCAATTGACAATAGTCTCTCCTAGCCTTGATTCCCTGTGACCTAAAGGTGTACCGGTAGACGTCGCATAGATTAGGCACGATGCCTTCGACTTTTTCCGCGGCCAGCATTTGCGGTGTCCAGCGTGGGAGGTGGTCGGCGCGGTTGATGAAGAGGGTGGATTTAAGGTCGTTGTAGGAGATTTGCAGCCGGATGTCGCGCCGTAGCCATCGGTGCTCTTCATGTGGGTTGCGGTTTTGCCGTTGGACTGTCATTTGTGCGGTTCTTTTAACTACCGGGTAGCGCTTGGTGTAGGAGAGCAGGTCGTCGCATTTGTTGAGGTACTGCGTGATGAGCTCGTCAAAGTTACGCTGGTCTTCGAGCGGGGAAGGTATCTGCGAGCGCTTGATAGGGTTGAGTACCATTGTAAAAAAAAGTAGTTATTACTTATAGTTTTTAAAGAGGGCAGCAAGAATAATAATAATGTAGTACATAAAAAAAATATATATAAAGAAGAAATGGAAAGTATAGAGCTGCATTAGGAATTTTAGTCTGATTTCGTTTTTTTTTATTTGTTCATTGTCGGTCCCGGGGCAGTTAAATTCCTTTTTTTTGTTAGTTTTTGTTTGCTTTTGTTTCTCGCTTCGTTGGTTGGGGGAGAAAATTATGCGGATTGACGACATTGAGGTTGCCAAAGCGTGCACAAGAGAATGCAGAAACTCCAAACCTTTTTTGTATATTATATTCGACGCTGGTTTCTGGAAAGAAAAAAAAAGAAAGTCTTGTGGACCGTTTGGCATAAAAACAGAAAAAAAAACATTTTATTATTGATTAACAAAACACTGAATCAAAAATAAACAAAACATAACACCAAATCAAGAATATATTTCACTTAGGAGTCCATCACAAAGTTCGGATGCAGTACCAGCATTGGTCCCATCTCCGGGTCAGCTTCCTCCTGCTCATTGCTGCGCAGGGGCATCACACAAGCCTCAACATTAACCAAATACTTGAGCACGGTTTTCGCCAAACGACGCTCTGCCTCAAAGTCGTCCTCAGTCTCAATATTGTCTTCGCGCTGGCTAACGTACCAATCCACAAGATCTCCCTGACGCAGGCCCTCTTCAGGCCGGTCCTCCAGCTCATGCAGCTTGAGCACGAGCATCGCGCGCACGCGGTCAAAGTCTTCACGACGCACAGTGACGCGCTTACGCGACGGCTCCTCCCCCTGCTGCTGCTGCTGCTGCTGCTGCTGTGCGGTGGTACTATCAAGAGCTGCAGCGTCAGTATTGGCATCAGCAGAGTCCATGGCTACAGAGTCAACGGCTGCCACCAGCGCTTCCATCTCTGGCATTGCGTCGTCATCGAACACGTCAATGTCGTCCATTTCAACATGCACAATGGACCGGCGCAGCAGACGCACGGCTTCACGCACATACTGGGTGGTAATGATTTCGGCACAATGCACGCGCGCCAGGGCCTCGCTCAGGCGAATCAGAGACTCAAGCTGGCGCACAGTAATGCGATAGGCGTTACGACCAGTGGGCGCAGCCGCCGATGAGCGGCTACTCACACGGTCAATCATGCCTCCGCCACCGACGTCCTCCTGGCGCAGATTGCGGTAGGACTCCCACAGCAGGCGCGCGGCGTCCTCGGAAAGCACCGGCTGGATAGTGTGCGCAAAGCGGATATACCGGCGCAAGGTCGCAGGCGAGTAGGGCGGGGCAACGGCGTCGTCCAGCAGCTGGTGCACGGCAACGATATGGCGCGCGGTGTTGTAGTCGCTGGTTTCGCTGGCGTTGTCCAGGACGACGAAGAACAGGTCGAAGCGCGACATGATCGGCGCGCTCATGGCGACGTTCTGGCGCAGCGTCAGCCGCCGGTCGTAGCGGCCGGCGACCGGGTTGGCGGCAGCCAGGATGGCGGTGCGCGCGTTGAGCGTCGCGTGGATGCCGGCCTTGGCAATTGAAATGGTCTGCTGCTCCATGGCCTCGTGGATAGCCACCTGGTCGGTAATGTCCATCTTGTCGAACTCGTCGATGCAGCAGACGCCGTGATCGGCCAGCATCAGCGCGCCAGCCTCGATGGTGAACTCGCCGGTCTCGTCGTCCTTAACGACGCTGGCTGTCAGTCCAGCGGCCGACGACGCCTTGCCGGAGGTAAAGACGGCGCGCGGCAGGAAGCCGGCGACGTACTTGAGGAACTGCGACTTGGACGTTGCAGGGTCGCCGACAATGCAGACGTTGATGTCGCCGCGCAGCCGCATGCCCTCGGCCGTGCGCTTATGCACGCCGCCCATCATCTGCAGCAGGATCCCGCGCTTCACCTCTTCGTGGCCAAACACCGTTGGCGCCACGGACTGCACCAGGTCGTTGTAGATGCGGTCGCCGCAGGCGCTCATTGCCGCCAGCTCCTCGCGCTCCTCGCGCGTCAGCGTCGCAAGGAACGCGTCGCGGTCCTCGGTGTCGCCCAGGGTCTCGGACCCGCCCAGTGCGCCGGCCGCGCCTAGGAATGCGCCGTCGGCGGATAGCACGCCGGGCACGGCGCCGCCCATAACCGTCGACCCCGAGCCGCCACCGGCGTCATTGACTGCCTGCGCGAAGCACGCAAGGAACGCCAGCCGGTATGTCAGCTCGCGCGACCCCATCGCTCTCGCGCCCGACACGCCGCCGCCCGGCTGCTGCTGCTGCGCGCGGCCGCCCTCGCGCTGCGCCACGGCGACTTGGCCGGGGCCGGCCAGCTGCGCAACATCCGGCAGCGCAATCAGCGCGCCGGTGAATTGCGCGCGGTCGCCAGGCTTGACGCGCTCAACGAGGTCGCCGCGCACGACAACGTCCATTGTGCGCGGCATCGAGCCGGGCGGGATCTCCGAGGCGTTCTCCTGCAGGCGCACGCGCTGCCAGTCGGCGAACCGGCTCTGGTCGACGACCAGCGTCCAGGCGAGCCGGTTCTGGCACACGGGGTTGTCGCAGACGCTGGGCTCCGTGTACTTGAACTGCTGCGCAACGGGTCCGCAGACTGCACCGCATTCGCCGCAGCGGAAGACGCCGCCGAGAAGCTCCGGCCGCACCTCCGAAGTGCGCGTCACTGTGCCGCTGATACACGCCAGGGCGCCGATCTTGTCCGCGCGCAGCTCGCGCACGCGGTGCACGGACGGAAGGCCGAACACCGAGACCGCCAGGGCTGTGGGCTCGGCCTGTGCGTGCGTGCGCTGGTAGATGCGCTGCGCCGCCTGGCACAGGTATGGCTCGAGCCGAAGGTAGTTTTCGCCCAGCGCCTGCGCCGCACGCTCGTCGAACCGCATCAAATGTGCAAAGTTGACAAACAGCGTGGCACACTCATCGACGCGCATCTTGGCCGCCTGCCGCACGTACACTGCTGAGCCGTCGATCTCAAACGTCGCGAGGAATGTTTCGAAGATTACGCGGAATGCCTCGGCTGCTTCGTCGCGCACTTTGGCTCGGCCCTCACGAGGCAGCAGGCCAAGGGTGTCGCGCAGCCGACGGGACCGCTCCTCCTGCACTTCTTCGCTGGTCGTGGCCAGTGCCTTGGTTCGCGGCGCGTTCATGCTGCCCAGCTCTGACCCGCCCGCACCTGCGCCCTGCGAGTAGTCGGCGCTCTCGCCGATGCGCCGCCGCACAGAGCTCGAGCTGCCCGGCATCGGGATGCTCGATGTTGGCGGCGGCAGCGCGCCACTGCTAGTCAGAAGAGAATTTCCGCGCCGCCCGCCAGAGACTGCCGACGACGGCGGGGGCATAGCATCGCTCGACGAAGGTGGTGGAGCCATGCTGTGTTTTTTTTGGTCAGGGCGAATTGGGCTGGACAGAATTTGACTGTGTGGCTGGTTGAGAGTGAGACAGAATAAAGAAAATAGGAATAAGAATAGGAATAGGAATAGGAATAAGTTAGCTGTGCTCGAGAATAAAAGTCAAACAAACGAAAAAGAAGAGAAAGCCCGAGCAAACTGTCAACAAGAAAAAAAAATTAATCAGGAACTGCTTTTTCTCTCGTTGAAAGAGCTTATTTTTGTTGTCATTAAAATTATCCACCCCTCTCTTGATCACCACCGAACTAATAAATCAACCCAGCTGATCTTCCAGTACCTGTGGAATTTTTGCTGAGCGCATAATCCACAGCCTTCTTTTTTCATACAGAGGGATAATGAAGTGCGGATTATTCTACCAAGTCTCGACGCAACAAGCGAATATCTTTATACAAAGAGGCTTGCCACGTTTTTTTGTCTTTTTTTTTTTTTTTTTTTTTTTTTTTTTACAAAAGCCTGTCGACAAGGATATGCCACTTGCATTACCCAGCACATACTCAGTCCTATGCCCGCACAAATTAAGTTACTCGGACAATATCATACTCATTCGAACCGCGCGCCTTCATAGATCATATCAGTTTTCAAATTGTGCTAAACAAGAAATCTATCCACCAGTTGTTTGTTCTAATTAATCTAGGACTGTAAAAAAATATAGAAAATGAACTGCCCAAAAAATTCCTATTTTTATTCTTCATCTTTTACATATTTTGTATATTTTGTCTACTCAAGTTGTTTTCCGTATAATACATACAACAATCACCATGCAAGAAAAAAACACTGTTTTCTTATAGACAATAATTTCACAGTCAAGTCCTTAAATACTGATAATAAATTTAATAGTCCACTTGACATTATATTCGGGGAATTCAAAAGTACGGTACTTAGGCGCTCATTTAGTGTTGATGGCCCTAATACAAATGAAAGAGTAGAGTTGGAGGTTCTCATGCTTAAAAAACATGCCAACATATGTTTTCCGCTTAAAAATCGTCCGATAAAAAAAGACCCTACACCACTAAAAAAATCGTCTGATATTATAAAACCATCCTTTTTAACATGTACAAGAAATTTTAACGACTCAGTGCCTTTTCCCCAAATTAAAAATATTATAATATTAAGTCTAAGAGTTACTTGAAAAATTGAGTATTATGTAGGGGCGCCATAGTATTTTATATGCATCACAATAAACTGTCGTGACCAATTAGCAAGTTTTTATTCTTTTTTTTTAAATAAATGAAAATTCATCGGTTCAATGAAGCTGTTTAATGCTTCTTTTATGCCACGTATGGCATTGCCTTGCAACAGTCAAAATTGTGCTAAAAGCGAATTAATTAAAAACGGAAGAAATGTATTTATTTTTTCAACGAACCTCAATCGTCGGCTGGAGTTTGTCAGACCCGTTGTCATGGCTAGACACCATGTTCTTCTCGTCATGATCAATGCTCGCCTTCAGGCGGTCAACCCTCTTCTCGCGAATGCCGATGAACAACAGGAAGGCAGCCAAAAACACCCAGTAAAGGCAGTAAGAGATAATTGTGCCGTAGGTGGCAACGTTGTTCCAGCCAAGGATGGCGTTGAAAACACCCCACGCAGTATCATCGTTGGCCTCAGGGTTTCCGTAATCCAGGGCCCAAACGTTGACGCGCACGTCAATGACACCGGAGGCATCGGGATCAGCACCGGCGTACTTGGAAAAAGTGTGCTCCTCGAAGAACCACACGGACTTGGACATCAGGCCGGCGGCAATGAGATACAGCAGGCAGGTGGATACGACAAAATACCAGTGGAACGACATGGCGTTACCTGTGCGGTAAATGGCGAAACCAACAATTGCACCGCAGATCAGACCAATGATAACGGGGAGGGGGATAGATTTGGCTGTGGCGCCCAGGGACACGCCTCCGACAAAGACAACAGCCTCAAGACCCTCGCGCAGAACCGTGAGGAAGGGCAGGTGGAAGAACAGGTACTTCTTTGAGAAAATCTTGATGTCGAACCACTTGCGCCATCCAGTCTTCTCGGACTGCTTATCCATGAGCGTCGACAGCTTTCCGCGCCATTTCTCCTGCATGCGACCAGAGCGCAGCATACCCAGACCCATGACAGTAATCATGATGGTGGCAATAAGACAGAAAATACCCTCCCACAGCGCCTCCGTTTTTTGCCACAGATCGTTGGCAACCGTGTAGAAGACTCCAATGAAAACCGCTCCGATGATCAAACAAATTAAGAACCCCACTGCCGCTCCGATCCAAATGTGCTTTCTCGCCCGCTTGTACGCCTCGGGCTGCGTCTCAAACATCTGCTTGCTGAAGGACAGCAGCACCGAGATGATCATACCCGCCTCAATGGTCTCACGAAAGATGATGAAGAAAATCGCGACGTTGAATACGTTCGCCATCTTTTTAAACTGTGTACTGCTTTAGCGTGTGTGTATATGTTGTTTTTTGGGGGGTCAATTAGGGATTATTAGCAGAGGCTTGTTTAAAATAAAATAAAATAAAAATTAATGACTCGAGGGTAAACAAATTATAAAGTGAAACTTTTTTAACCCGACATCAGGCTTATGCCGAAGGAATAGAAAATATGTAAAAGAATAATAAACAATAGGGAATAAGAAAAAATGGTAAAGAAAAAAGGCAGCGAGTCGAGCGTGTTGCCTTTTAAAAGGGGAGCAAGCGTAAGGCAGACACAGTGCAGTTTGTTAGCAGTAGTCATTTTTCCTCTTGTGGTCCAAAGTCGCAATCACTGCAATTGCTGGTGATGCCCGAAAGAAAAATACAAGCAGCCATTGCAGTGGTGGCGACAAGCACCCTTACTGCTTATTGGAAGTGCAGTCAACAAAAAACAAAAGCAAAAACAATATCGGTGTGTGGATAAGCCGAGTTCATACGCACAACAAGCACATATGCCTGGCAGACAGAGGGGGCGTATCGGCAAGTAGGTATGCAGGCCAAAATTCCAAAAAAAAAATTGAACCCGGGCGAATTTCTCAATTATCATTTTTTTGGGCTCGACAATAGGGAAATACACTACCGGACAAATATAGAAATTGCTCTTTTTGGTGAGAAAGGAAGGAGCGGGCTATGTGTAAGAGGCCGTGGTAAATTTTTTTTTGCACAATTGCCTTGTATTTCTCTGCTTCTTTCAAGGCTGGTCATACTGGACGCCTGTAATGACCATCGGATATGCCGGTATCAAGCAAAAGGAAGCTTCTCTGAAGAACATTGCATCGCACCACATGTGTGGGTGCGCTATTTTTTTGCTCTGTCAGATAAAGATAAGCAACAATGCAAATGAACAAATGACCTTCAGCGGACGAAATACAGCGGAGTGCGGGTTTTGTTGTCGAGGGAATATTTTCTCTGATTTAGCGCTTACTATTGATAATGTCGATCTGCGCACATCCTTATCTGTTCGTTCAACATGGAAAAAGCGATTAAAAAGGTAAAAAAAAATTATCACGTTCTATCACGCTCCCGCGCGCGCTCATCACCCCCAAACTTTTCTTTATCTGTTCGAAAGAAGTTTCCTCTTCTCCATATGTGCAATTTTGCGGACAACAATATTAATGAATGCTGGGGGGTTGATTATTATTCCAAATCGAAACATCAAAATGCTTGTATTCTTCTCACAAATTCATTTTTGTAATTGAAAGCCGCCAATTTGGGATGGCGTTATTGCAAAATTTATTTATTCAGCTAGGATCAGATATTGCGCGAAAGAGATGACAAAGCCACACCCGTTAGGCCAATAATAATCACTCTGCTCCAAAAAAAACAGCGAGTCATTTATTTCACTCAATTTTATGCTCGCATATTTTGACACATGAAATTGCGAGCTGCATTGTATACTCGCCCGAATCATTGAAACTCATATGAACTCGAGCAATATTCTTTTTGTTGTTATTAAACATCCGATCCCCAAAGTATGTGTTCCTTTAGGAATTTCCAGCCAGACAGCCTTTTTCTGATTGACGACTGGACCAATCGGTGCACTCACAAAATAACACCAAACGGGCGTGCTCACGCGAATCCACGCAATTCCATTCGCGCAAACATAAGATATTCACTACAGTTGATGTCTTGAAATAGAAAATTAACTGCAGAATTTGGCAAGCAGTCATAGATATAAAGAAATACAAACTCGTTGGCGGTAAGTCCGAAAATATACGATGCACTTTCCCTCCGATGACACGACCGACTGACCGGCCAGATTGAAGGGCACAGCATATCTGATGAGGAGTGTCCAAGGGAACAATCGCTTTCTTTGGTTTTTTTGGATGGGGGTTAGGCGAGGGAATGGGCAAAAGATAAAGCGCTTTCTTGCGGGTTTTGGTGTTCTCCGTTGCGACATTATACGCTTTACGCATAGGTAAAATATATGCGTAAAAAATGTCGACAGGGCCAGTGTCAAATTCACTGCGCTTGTCAAATGACTGAGGAAAAAAAAACATTGCTTATCCATTGTTTTTCTCGCTAAGCACGCCTGCTCAAATTACCGATTCATTTTTTTCGGGAGCGCACGGTCGTTTATCCTTATTCATAACGAACGCTCAAAACTTTTTTACTCTCGTTGTCTCGCGAGTATAAAGCCAAAGTCGCTGCTGGCCCACCGTCTCTCTCCCTGTCAGTATTTTATTTTATTTTTACTCTTTTAACTTGCTCTTGAGGATACAACCATCAACCGGCAATTTATTGTTTTCAATATTACTTTTTTAATTTACTGTTGTTTTTGTTGCTTGAAAGCAAAGTTCGTATAGCCTTTCGTTGTATTGACTCTGCTTACTTTTACACATCGTATTTTTTGTGGATCCGAACAGCTAGTTTACACACGCCCGTGTTATTATTATTACACTCTTTTCTCATTTGTCTCCAACCAACAACATCGCCTAATTTCTTTATTACTCATTTCCTTACTTACATATTATTTAGTCTTTAATATTATTGACATTTAGTCAAGGCCACAAAATACTTTAGACGCGCTTTATTCGGTTTTATCTTATTTAAAAGAAGATGCTCTTCAAGTCGCTAGCGGGCCTTGTGCTGGCCGCTGCGGCGGTCGCCAAGGACGTCACATACTACTGGGACATCGGCTATGTCACAGCTAACCCAGACGGTAAGCTGGAGCGTCAAGTCATTGGCGTCAACGGTGTATGGCCGCCGCCACCCCTGCACGTGTCGCTGAACGACACACTGGTTATTGAGACACGCAACTCGCTGGACACGCCGACCACGCTGCACGCTCACGGCATGTATCAGAACGGCACCAACTACATGGACGGACCGTACATGGTCACGCAGTGCGGTATCCCCCCTGGCGGCAACATGACCTACCGTATTCCGATTATCCAGACCGGTACGTACTGGATTCACGCGCATTTCAGCGCGCAGTACGTCGATGGTATCCGCGCACCGCTGATTCTGCACAACCCCGAGGAGCCGCATAAGTACGACGAGGACGTGGTTCTGACGCTCGAAGACTGGTACCATGACGGTGCTGCGGGCCTGCTGAAGGACTTTTTGAGCTGGAAGAACCCCGGTGGCGCTGAGCCCGTTCCCAACGGCGCGCTGATCGGCAGAGTCGGCGGCGATGAGCTGTATAAGCTCAAATTTACGCCTGGCAAGACGTACCGTATCCGCCTGATCAACATGTCTGCGCTGTCCATGTTCCATTTCTCGATCGAGGGCCACAAAATGCGTGTCATCGAGGTTGACGGTGTTGACACCGAAGAGCACGAGGTCGGCAACGTCATTCTGTCTGTCGCCCAGCGCACATCGATTTTGGTGACTGCCCTGGAGACGGCGGATAACAACTTTATCTTCCACGCCGACATGGACACTGACATGTTTGATTCCCTCCCCGATGACCTCAACTACAACTCGACCGGTATCATTGAGTACGCTGCTGATGCGCCCATCAAGCGCGACGACGAGATCGACTGGTCGCCGTTCAGAGACATTGATCTGGTGCCGTACAAGAAGGAGGCTGCTCTGGGCTTTGATGTCACCTACAACCTGGACGTGTACTTCAACCAGTACACTGACGCGCTGAACCATGGTACGTTCAACAACATCACCTACGTCATGCCCAAGGTGCCCTCGATGTTCACGGCGCTGACTGCCGACGAGGACATCTTCAACCCCGCCATTTACGGCCCGCAGACAAATGCGCATGTCGTCAAGCACATGCAGGAAGTTCAGCTTATTGTCAACAACTTTGATGCCGGTAATCACCCCTTCCACCTGCACGGTCACCACTTCCAGCTGATCGAGCGCGGCCCGGCGCCCTATGACTCGACGTACAACCCACGTCCCAAGACCGCTCCCAGCCGTCGCGACACTGTCACCATTCCGAGCATGGAGTATGTTGTGTTGCGCTTCCGTGCCGACAACCCGGGAGCATGGCTGTTCCATTGCCATATTGAGTGGCATATTGAGGGCGGCCTCAATATGGTCATCATTGAGGCCCCCGATCTCATGCAGGAGCGCATCAAGGTGCCGCAGCAGATCATTGACCAGTGCGCTTTGGCTGGTATCCCGACCTCGGGAAATGCCGCCGGTCGCAGCGGACTCGATCTGGAGGGCGCGCCCGATGGTCCCTACCTGTACCCTCTAGGCTGGACGAGCAAGGCGAAGGGTGCCCTGGCGGGCTGCATTTTGTCTGCCATCGTGGGCTTTGTAACCATCGTCTGGTACGGATGGAGCTCGCAGCGTACATACAAATCGGTGCCCACCTCTGAGCAGGATGTGCACCAGCCTTCGGGTGAACTCAATTACAGCCGCGATTAGAGCCATTAAAATTAATACAATCTATTTTTCATAATACAATATCCACACTATATTTTATTGCGGCTTTTCCGATAAGAAAAATATGTGGTAAAGAAAGTGTCAACAAGCAGAGCAATGATAATTCAATGGCAAAACTTTTTTTTATAAATTTTAAACATGAAAGAAAACTTTATTTTCTATGTAAAAAAACAAAAATATATAAAAAACAATACTATTTACTTCATTTGATCTAGCAAGTAAAGTAATTTAATAATGCTAATAAGAATCGCGCAACTTTGAAGGCCACTAAAGCGCCGACAAGTCCTACAAGTGCCATCAGGTAATTGTCGCGGGTGTCGTCAGACATTTGGCGTCTGGAGAACTGATTTGTTATTATAGGAGGCTCGTAGTCAGTGGGAAGTGCATAAGCAAAACCAAACATGAACATTAGTAATATTATGAACGAGTTGAAGTTAAACATTATTGGTAAGTTTAGGATGTGTACAAATTGATGTGGTGTTTCAGAGACAAGCAAGTGTAAAAATAAGATAAAGTTGAAAGGGCTGAAGATAAAAGGTTATAAATGAGTGAAGCTACAAGGTTGCTGTTTTTAAAGTTTGAAAAGTAATGTAGGGTAAGGTAAAAACGTGTAGGGATAAGTGCAAAAAATGTAAACAATAGAGAGTTGAAGCTATTGTTTTAATGTTTTCAAAACGGATTGATATATGGAATGAAATGAAGTGAGATGAGGGATATAGATTTTGGGCGCTGGTGTTTAAAATCTGAGAAAAAGATAGATAACTAATTCAGTAAGATAAAGAAGTCAGGTAAAGATGAAAACTGATTTATGTCTTAAAACCGAGAGAGAGAGAGAGAGTGAGTGAATGTGTGTGTGTGAAAAAGTTAAGTGAGATAACGTCAAGTAAAAAAAATGAAAAATGATTCTTCTTAAAACTGAGGGCGAGTGAGAAAAAGATGAGAGGTAAATTCAAGTAAAAAAGTAAAATTTTGTTTTGTCCTAGAGCCAAGTATATAGATTGCGGCAGTTAAATTTGAAAAGTGAAAAGTGAAAAGAAAAAACCAAGGTTAGTTTATAGAGTTTGAGCTGTAGAGCTGTAAAGTTGAGTATATGAAGTAAAGTAAAAAAGTGAGATTTTTGCTGCTAAAAGTCAATAAACGAGATGAACTATATAAATTGCAAGTCGATTTAAAAAAAAAAGTCCAAAGAAAAGTGTTGAAAATATGGAAGGGAGAGGATATGTGCAGATAATTCTTTTTTTTTTTGAAAGCGTGAAATGTAGGAATAAAGATTATGCAAAATACAAAATGCAAGAAATGCGAATGAGAGTTGTGATGAGAGGCGGATGGGAGTGATGATTGTCGTAATGATGATGATTTTGTATTTTGAAATTCCAGGGTCCAGATGGTTCCTTTTATACCAATTTAAAAGATATCCTGCTACACTTAAAAAATGTTTTTATTATATATAATTGTAGTCGAAATGTGTGGTGTGGTATCCCAAATGACCTATTTTTAGATAGGCTAAGGAACGGCGGTACCTTTTTCTTTCTAACCCCTCCCAAAAAATTACAAATAGAAAGGGGCACAGGATTTGGCGCGCCAATTAAAAGGAATGGCAGCTGGATGCGTCTACAAAGCAAGCCAGTATTTATTTTCGAGTGTGACGGACAGGGGCCTTTCTAAACAAGTTTTTTTGTAAAGACAACTGGAATTGCACAAAGGACAGAAAAGAAAATGTTTTAATTGTAAGGGAAAGCCAAAAATAATTTGTAAAAAAAATGTCTAAAAAAACATGTTTTGTTTGTTTCTACACACACAGAAAGCCCCAGATTTGTCTCTTCGGGCGCCTAAGCAAACGAGTCGCTGAAATTAAAAAAATCCAAAGTGCATAATGTTTTCTTGGAACTGCTCGGAATTGGATTTTCTTAAGCGTTTGTCCATTTTTAGATACTTTCATTATGTGAACGCGTCGATACAGAATTTAATAGAATTGAACAGAAACTTTGAAACCTTGATTCCAACAAGAAATCCTACAAGCGCGGTAATTGCGACCAAGTGGTTGTCCCGGCTCTCCTGTGTTAAATCTCGTCTGGATATCTGCAGCGCCAATGTCGGCTTGTCCGTGGGCAGCGCGGCAATTTTGCCAAGTGCAAATGAAATTAACATGCAGCTAAGGAGTTGTGGGGAATGCATGGTTATTAAAAAACAAAAAATTAATGCTTGGGCAAAAGGAAAAAATAAAGTGGCGGAATTGAATATAACAGGGTTAGTATGTTTAAGAGAAATACAAAAACAACGAGCAAACGGCGCCCTATTTATTTGTATTTACCAACATACTAAGCCATAGTTGTAATGAGGACTACAAGTAAAGAAAATGCTTCATCAGGAATTTACAACGGCGGTGTAAAAATAAAGTCAGCATACATGTGCATTTTTTGTTGACTGGGAGGTACACTCGCCCAGTCAATCAGCATTCCGTCTTTGTCTGCTTCTTTTCAATGCCACAATAAAACAAATGTCAGAAGAAATAGGGCGTGTGCATGTAGCTCTGCCTGCTGCTGTTAAATTGACAATAATTGCGAGAGCAAATGAAATGGCGTTGCGATAATTGTCAATACAAAAGTGTTACCAGCACGAGTTTCTTTTGGGATTTGGATCTGTACCCCCGCTGGCACCAATAGAAGAATGGATCTACGCGGCCACCCTCATTGGATCCCCCACATGTGTAGTGCTGACGTCTATGACTATAGCCGTGGCTTGGTTGTGCCCCCCCTCCCCGTCCGTGCAACATGCTTGGTTGATTCCCAGCGTCAACCACGTCTCACACTGGTTTGTTGTTCAATATTAATGGCATTATGGATTCCGCAAAAAAAATTAAACGACAGCCACACAATAACGCCAACCGTAAACATACAAGTTGCAGGGGATTATTGATTATTCAAACCACCCCGATTAAGTAATTAATCAAATATTGGTTGTTCCAAGACAGCAATCAGTGCCCACATTTCCCTTCACCCCCACTCCTGCTTCTGCTTGTCCATGCCTTTTTTTGGTTTCTGTAGTTCGCGATAGTCCCCCTCCCCCCTTGCTTTGTCCCCTGCTCAGTATCTTGCCATCAAAGCAAGCAGACTAGAACATACCCAAATGAGGGGTCCGCAATGATGAGAGCAAATACATGACAGGCCGCCCCAGGCCCAGCTTGGCCGATTTCTGTATCTCTTCCCCACATATTCATAATTTTTTCTTCGGGTGTATTCACTCGCATGCGTTTGTACTTACTATTCCATTACCACCTTTCTAATATGTTAAACAAACTATACTCCTTATGTATGCCTCGCAGCGGCGGCGCCAGCGACAGCAGCGAGACGCCCGTGCACAGATACCCGTCGACCATCGAGCGGGGGCTAACAGACTGCGCACCGCCCAATGTGGGCACTGTGTACGATGCCCTGCTGTACCGGCTTGGACAGGAGCCCGATAAGACAACAATGGGGCGGCGGCGCGTGCTGGGCATCAGCGAGCGCACAAGCCCCGGCAGCGGCGGCGGCGAGGGCTCGGGCAAGAAATGGAGTTATTTCCGCCTGAGCGACTACGAGTGGATGACATACCGCGAAATAGCGCAGCTCACCCGCGAGATGGGCGCAGGGCTCGCGCACATTGCCGGTGGCTTGGCAGGCGTGCGCGTGGCAATCTACGCGCCGACGTCGCGCGAATGGACGCTGTGCATGCTGTCGTGCTACTCGCAGGCTATGCAGGTGGTCACCGCATACGATACGCTGGGCGACGAGGGCGTTGTGCACGCGATGAACGAGGCCGAGGCGCGCGTGGCGTTTGTCAAGGCCGACCAGATGCCAGTGCTGGACCGCATTGGCAGCCGGCTGCGCACAGTCACGGCCATTGTGTACTACAGCGACTTTTACGGGATGCCCAAGGCGGCCGAGGCGGCACTCGAGCGCGTGCGGGGCAGATTCCGGGTGCTTGAGATCGCCGAGCTGCAGCAGCTCGGGCGGCAGCATCCGCGCGACCTGTGTGTGGCTGGGCGTGGCGACACGGCGCTGGTCATGTACACCAGCGGCACGACGGGCCCGCCCAAGGGCGTGCTGGTTGCGCACGGCGGGCTGCTGGCAATCTGCGGTGCCATCCACGAGCTGGTGCCCGAGTGCATCGACTACGAGGCCGACCGCGTGCTGTCGTACCTGCCGCTTTCCCACGTGCTTGCGTTCTTCGTCGAGACGTACTGCCTGTACTCGGGTATCCGCATTGGCTACGGCACGCCGCGCACGCTAACCGAGGACAATGTCGAGGGCTGCCTGGGCGACCTCCGGACGCTGCAGCCGGCGGTCATGCTGGGCGTGCCGCAGGTGTGGAACACGATGCGCGCCAGCATCCTGCGCCAGGTGGTGCGCCGCCCGTGGGCAGTGCAGCAGATCTTCCACGGCGCCGTCGAGCTCAAGACGTGGCTGACGTACTATGGGCTGCCCACGGGGCTGCTCGACCGCGTGGTATTCCGCCAGACACGCCAGGGCACAGGCAGCCACCTGAAGATTGCAATCACCGGCGGCGCGCAGATCAACCAGCACGTGCAGAAGTTCATTGCCGCGACTATCTGCCCGATGCTCCACGGGTACGGCCTGAGTGAGGCCAGCGGGCTTGTGTCTGTGCAGGTGCCCGGCGACGTCACGCTAGGCAACATCGGCCCGCCGGTGCCATCGGTCGAAATAAAGCTGGTAGATGTGCCCGAGAACGGCTACTTTGCTCGCGACGGGCGCGGCGAAATCTGGGTGCGCGGGCCGTCGGTATTCCAGGGTTACCTGAACAACAGCGACATGACGCAGGAGGTGCTGACCAAGGACGGTTGGCTTAAGACCGGCGACATTGGCGAGTGGACGCCGCTGGGCCAGCTGGCCATTGTTGACCGCAAGAAGAACCTTGTCAAGCTGGCCCATGGCGAGTACATTGCGCTTGAGGCGCTCGAGTCCGCGTACAGCAACTCAAAGTATGTCAGCAACATCTGCGTCTGCGCCGACGCGCGGATGACTCGGCCATGTGCCATTGTCAACATGGACTCGGCTTCTATTGCGCACTGGGCTGCCGAGGCCGGCATTGCGTATGGGTCTGCCGCTGAGCTAGCTACTAACCCTGACTTTGTCGGGTTGGTTTACGACGACCTGGCGGCCGCCGCGCGCCAGAACAACCTCCGCAAACAGGAGCTGCTTGCCAGCATTCTCATCGACCCCGAGCTGTGGACGCCCGAAAACGGCATGCTCACTGCTGCCAGCAAGCTGAGGCGCACAGACATCCAAAAGCACAACGAGAAGCGGCTGCAGGACATGTACGCGCACATGTAAATTAATTGAAAAAATAAATGTAAACGAGACTTCATTCACTACTCTTTGTTTATTTATTTCAACCATTGAAGCATAAATGTAAAAAAAAATTGGGGGTTAGAAAGAAAGACTTGCTATTTTTTGCTTTACACTCGCTGAGCTACAAAACGCACACAATGACATGCGCGCATATTAAAGAACAGAAAAGACGACGACGACATGCTGCAGTCAACGCGCAATTAATTTTACATACTTTATTTGGCCAAAACATAAGTAATACCACCACTCGAGTGTCCAACGCTATGCTCACTTCACCTCACCTCGGTTTTATTTAATATACACTTTTAGCAATATATACGCACATCAGCCAAACAATATGTTCAAGTTTCTTTTCATCATCGCGTTGAATTTTGCATTGGCAGTTGCTACTGCCATAAATTACCCGACAGGTCTCTACAGGCGCGTCATCATCGATAGCGCTGAAAATAAATCCAATTCAACGAATGATGTCAGTGCTGGGCTAATAGCCGGAGTCACTGTTGCTGTCATCTTGGGTCTTCTTCTTCTTTCATTTGGTGTCACATTCCTGATCTCTCGCTATAGCCGCAAAAAGGCTGCCAACATTAACAAGTAGATGGGAATAATAAGCGCTAATACAGGCAGGCGGACAATATTTTCGATAGTATCAAAGAAATATTAAGGCTTGTCGCATGTGTAAGTGTAAATGTGAGTGTGTTTGTAGCTTCTATTTCTTTGCTTTGTATTTTACTTTTTGCAAAGCGTATAAAAGAGGTGAGTAAAATGTGCGACTTTTTTTCAAAGGGCCAAGACAACACGGTCAATTTTTGTTTTTACATTGATGCGAAAATCATCTCTTGCTTCTATATTATTTGTTCTCATTAGCATTAAAATTTTTATTCAATACTAATTAAATATCTTTATTATTCACACAACCATGTCGACTCTACACACCACACTCGCGCTTCTCATGTCATTTGTAGTTGCTGTCATGGGCTATCCAGCTATTCATACAATCTACGAAAGGCGCGCCGTTGATGGTTTCAACTCCATAACACAAACACAGGTAGTTGAAACTGATAGCCCTACAGACACGGAAAACAAAATCTCTGGAACAACCATTATGTGGGCTGCAATTGGGTGTGGACTGGGTGTAGCGTGCTTTATGGCTTTTCTGTGCTGCTTCAAAAAGGTCAACCAGTTTCTCTGCCCTTGTTGTTGCAGCGGGGACAAAGAAGAGCACAAAAACTAAAAAAGGGTTAATAGAATCATGTCCAGTCAATAATAATGGCCAGAATTAACGTTGGATTATATTTAATGTATGCGCTAATTTGCACAAAAAAAATAATATTATGTCACGCTTTTTTCATATTATTTTTAAATATATGCAATTTGTGTGGCTTTTTTATTTAATTTTTTTTCCCAGAAAATCAGCAAACAAGGAATTTCCGTTTCCATATTGTCTGTCTGCATTCAACTTGGGATTTGAAAACATAATTTGTCGTAATACAACCAATAAATTGTCGATATTTTACAATAGCGCGATCACACTATTGTGATGACTTTGCAAATGTTAAATAGATGTAAAAACAATGAAAATTCGGATTTAGCGTTTTCCCAACAACTTTTAGTAGGTTGAAAAAGTTGTAGCACCTGGCAATCATCTATATGAAAAAACGACTGTCTCATCTTCATAATCCTTTTTACTTTACTAATGTTTAATCTATATATTTTATACGCGTTCATATATTTATAAACATAATAATGCATTCTGACCCGCACGTATGCAGTAAATGCAACGCATCGTTCAAAAACAAAAGTGATTATTATGTGCACATTTTTGACTGCTATTTAAGTATTTCCAGTTGAATGTCTAACCAAACGCACCTGATTACCAATGTGGTTGTTTCTCAATGTCTCAGCACAACAGCCTTAAGTAGGTTTTGGAAACTATAAATAAAAATGACATATACAGCGGTTAGTTTACTTTATTAGATTAAACAAATAGTAATAAATAAATAGTTTGTCCACACAGACCCAGTGCACAAAACAGCAGCTATGAAAATGGCTTAATAAAACTGCCCATTGTGGTTGCTGGAGCTCAAATATCGGGCAGCAACATCAGTAATTGCCCATTCCTGATCAAGTTCAATCTATAAAACTATTTTTAACAAATTTACAAAAATTCAATTAGAATATTGCTTACCACAGTCTGTCATTTGAATATAATTACCTGCAAGATGCCATTTGATAGTTCCATTTTTTATTGTTGCAATAGGCATACTAGTGACACCACTTAATTTATTGTGTGATTGTAATGGTAAAATGAATATCAAATGACCATAAGCGCATGATGAATAAACGTACATGCAATTTTTTCAATTGAGAAAATATTTTTGCAAAGTGTTTAGTTTTGAAAAAAATATAAATATTGAAATTGGCGTTGTAAATGCTCTATTCCTATCATTTTTAACAAGTTTATTTTTAAATTTTGAATATAACGCTTACTATAACCTTCCTACGTCTTATATTTGCTGCAAAAAGTATTTAAAACCTTATAATGCAGTTAGATTCAATAGTTTGCACTAGATGCAACAGGGCTTTCAAAACTGAGGGCTATTATCACCTTCATTTGTTTGAGTGTTTGACAACCAAACCAAAGTAAAATTTTAGGCCCGCATGCTTGTATACTACAAAAAGCAACGCATTAGCCTGATCCATTGCCTTTGCGCAGCATGTTTGAACAATTGTTTTATTTTACTAAGTTTTATTTAAAAAATAAACAATGTAAACATAATTAATTTCCCTTGATTACCAAATTGTTTTCAGTGAATATATATTGGCAAAATAAGTATAGCGATAAGCATAAAGTTTGTAAACCAGCGGCTCTCACGCTAACAACAATAAGTTAATTAATTGGATGTGTTTATGTGTTTGTTTGTATATTTGATTGAATTCGACTTGAATGCAAACAATTGACAAACCAACCATTATTGCAACACACTTTGATATGCCGCAAATAATTAAAATATGACTTGCTCAAAAATAATTTTTAAGCATTAAACCACGTTATTTTGACTGGGACAAATATTATTGCGTGTCAACTCATTTTATAACATAAAATATAAAGCTGAAAATATAAAATATAAAATTGCGCAATCGCCTGCAAAAAAAGACTGACTCATATAACATTTGTTTTTTCATTTATATAATATTTTTCATTCAATTTATTTGCAACCAACGTATAAGTGCATGAAATAATCAGTGTTTTTAATAAGGTCAACGAGACGCCATTTGTGTGCATACATTGCAGTAAATAATTTCCTATCAACCAAGGTGTATTAGGATATATGACGTTCTATGAACGTGTAGATAAAGTATAATGCTATAAAGTATATTTAATAACAAGTGCTATGCATTGTGTGAGGTAAAGAGAAGAAAGCATATTGCTCTGGTCACTGTGTGACTTATTGTTTGTGTGTCTAAACAGCCAAGACTGGTTAATCAATTGATCGCCATCAACCAATACATTGCCCTAGCAGCACGCTTTTTTTGCTCAACACGCACTTTTGTTGACATACAAATAGCTTGTTTTTTTGCGCGATTTTATTTCAATAAACATAGCTACACACTTATACACATTGTAGAGTTTATAATCTCTTGCCATCACTTTTTATTAATGAACAGCTGTATTTTAAAAATGTCCGTTCGGAACTGGCCTATAGGCGCTCCTAGATTCATATGCCCCTTTTGTCACATCACATTTAGGACCCAAGCTGAATGGGAATACCATTATAAACATTGTATGTATGGAGATGGCAGCTATTGATTAATTTATAAAAGCAATATAGCACGTTTGCTGTAAAACATTCGAAAAATATACATTTTATTCAAACGAATAAAAAATTGGATTTTCATTTAATATCTTTTTATAAAATAGTATTATAAGAAAAGTTTTGTTGCACAGACTGAAGATATGTAAGTGGATGTTGAGGTTGAGAATCGCGAAGCAGGTTTCTACCTGCGTGCCGATTGATAGGACGCTAATTGGATCATGCAGGCGTAAATTAGGGAGGCATTACATTGATGCCCAAACATGCTCCCCATTTTGCAATGCACACGCGTGAGTGCACACACACGAAAACCACAACATTGACTTGCCAAGATACCGGTCTGCTCGCAAAAGACCAGTTCTCACTAATGGAGCGCACAATTGACAGTGTGCACAACAAAGGCAACAAGGTACATATATAAGATGAGGCTGGCCCTAGTAGTATTTTAGAAACCTCAGTAATAAAACCTTTTATAAACTCAACCCCTTATTTCTAACACTAGACAACTAGTGCTCTTCACACCCCTTCTTACTATAACACTTTAATCACTTAAAATTCTTTAAAATAACTTTAATTAATGATATCTGCCTAAAAATAATGCAAATACTGAATATTGGTTTCATTAGATATCACTATTTAGAGGGAAAGTCACTGTTGGACATTCACCAAGTTTTACACCAGTATTTCAGCACAGGCGCACCCTCCATATCAACAGTTAGAAAATGGGTTAGCAGGTTTTGTTGAGGACACATGTATATTCAAAATAAGCCTTAAAGCAGCTGTCCAAAGCTCAAAATTGCACAACTTCATGGTGCTGTTACTCGCAAGACAATCGACCGATCTCCACATACAAAAGCTGAGAATTTAGCTGAGCAGTACGATTGTTTGGTAACAGCAATGCAAAAGGTCTTGTGTTGTAATCTGGGCTATAAAATGGTTCATCGGCAATTAGTACTTTATTCCCTCACTGATGGGCTTAAGGCAACGCATATTGGGTTCTGCCAACAATTCATAGAGAACTTCGCCGGCTCGTCCAGAACAAATATATATAACATTGCTACATGCAATAAATCGTATGTCTACCTGAAAATGCCATTATATGGCTCGGCAGCCAGTGTAATGAAAATTTGGCTGGTTATAATATATATTAATTAAAATAAAACTATGAAAAGAGCTAAAGAGTTCACTATTCGGAATTTGCTGTACGCGTGAAATATTAAACATATTTCATGTGTCTGCGCTATCACGTGACTCAGCCCCCATTT